TCTATATTAAATTCGATTTCTCGCTATCGATATCGAACACACAACTACAATGCAGACGCTTCAAGATGTTTGCCAATCAGCTGCCAGCGCCCAAACAGAAACTAACACACACACACGCCCCCCTCAGCAACAGCAGCGACAGCAAATGGAATCATGAGTCATTAAGTGGCCTGCTGGTAGGGGGCGCCACCCACAACAATTTGGAAACTCGAACGAAATTCTTTCTACAACATATAAACATTAATCATTGCACAAAAAAAAAGCAAACATTATTCCAAAACATTTGAAACTTTGTAAAACTTGTAGATGCAATTGGAGAGTAAACTTTGGCCAGCATATCCATACATACACTAGTATATATGGATGTGTGAAGCTTATATAGTATATGAACGAAAGAACTTCTTGGCTTTTCGCAAATCAAATTGTTTCTTAACTTTGTTGCTAGGTTGATTATTGATTGATTACCTAACGTGTGAACATTTTCTGTTACCTTTTCGTTATTAGTTTTTTTTATATCTCAGCACACTTTATTGAACCCCAAAGCAGAAGTTCACTACAAGAGTTTTTACTTCCATCTATATATTCCAGCTTTGTTCTCTAAATGTTGTCTATTTCGACTTTCCACATTTCCACTGAATTTTCTTTATAAAAGTCTCTAAAACAGTTTGCCAGATCTTTCCAGATTATTTTCCAGCTAAATGATGACTTTACCCTGCCCAAAATAATATGTTCTATAGAGCAGTCCCCTTGTCTAGAATTTTTATCCACACTTCTTGCTCTCCATAGCATCTACAGGTTATTTCCCTTTTTGTCGATTGTTATAGTCCTTTAATAATTAATTGTTGTCTAGAAGGATGTTTTTTAATATCATTACTTGTCTAATTTATTGAATAAAGTTTTTATTGCTCGTCAAATCAAGCCTCAAATGTTGTTCCTTAGAATATAGTGTTAAAGTCAGAGTGCCAAAGCCATTTAGCCGTAGTCTTATAATTTGTAGCTCCATTTTGTATTCTGTAGTCTCTAGAGTATGTAGTTAAGTTATTTATACTTTAGCACAATATTTAACTGTAAAACTTAACATTAATCCCAAAACATTTCTGCTCCAAATAAACAACAACAAAAACACTTTGTTATTGGCATTTAGGTGATGGTGCTCAATGTTTCCTCGCTGCTGAAGACCGTCAAGGCTGTGGAGGATGAGCACACGCGCGGCACTCGTGCCATGGAGGCCACCGTGGAGGCCATCTCACAGGAGATGCGCGTAAGTAGCTTTATGAACGTCTTCTCTAAATAGGAATTAATCATGAATCTTCTTTACGAACAGGCCATGCAGACACCTCCACCAGTGAGCAGCCAGCAGGTGGGACCCGAGGATTTGATACGCGTCACCATGAACGTGACTGCAGCCACGGCAAAGGCTGTAGCCGCTGGCACCTCCAATCTGCAGGCGGACATTGTGGCTGCAGCCAATCTGGGCCGACGTGCCATATCAGATATGTTGATTGTTTGTCGTTCCGTTGCCTGGAACTGCGCCGAGACCGATGAGCTGCGTGTGCGCACACTGGAAGCGGGCACCTCTGTGGCCGAATCCTATCGAGAGCTGTTGAATGGCATCTTGCACAATTGCAGCGCCGATGATCGTATGCATTTGTCGCGACGCGTGGCCAAGTGTGTCACAGATTTGGTGGCCATGGCGCGTCTGCTAAAGGGCTCCGATTGGATTGATCCAGAGGATCCGACGGTCATAGCTGAAAATGAGCTGCTCGGCGCTGCAGCCTCCATTGATGCAGCTGCCAAGAAGTTGGCATCGCTGCGACCACGTCGTCAAGCGGACGTTAAGGTGAGCTTCAAACTATTTCTATACGGAATATAACTCTAGCTGTAATGGTGAATGTGCTATGGTGAATTGAAACTAACTGAACTACCGCTCGTCTCCACAATCAGTTGTCATATGTTTAACAAGCAACCAAAATCAACCAAACTACCTATCCACTACCTCATCTAATGATTCCAGTGAGATATGTTTGATATTCTTGGTTGTTACATTCAAAAGTTCACCCAGGAATCAAACATATTATTACTGTGATCGTTGAAACTACTAAAAACGAAACTAAAATTCAAACCAAACTTAACTAAACTCAAATGGTGTTTGCCTTTCTACTATGCTAATAAGCTTGCTTCCAATTAGAATCCAATACGACTGAAGTTATTGAGCTAATCGAACTTATACTTATTCACAGATCGAGCTGGATGAGAACATGAAGTTCGACGAGATGATTCTGGAGGCTGCCAAGGGCATTATGGGTGCTTCGGCTGCTTTGGTGCGTGCTGCCAATGCTGCTCAGCGAGAGTTGATTGATCAAGGCAAGGTGGCTCGACGTCCACTCACCAGCTCCGATGATGGTCAGTGGTCTGAGGGTCTTATATCAGCCGCGCGCCTGGTGGCTGCAGCCACGCACAGTTTGGTCGAGGCTGCACAGAATTTGGTGCGTGGCGTCGGCACAGAGGAAATGCTCATCTCCACGGCCAAGCAGGTGGCTGCCTCCACAGCGCAATTGCTGATTGCCTGCAAGGTGAAATCGAATCCCAATTCGGAGGCGGGTCGCCGTTTGCAGGCTGCAGGCAATGCAGTCATCAAATCCACGGACAATTTGGTGCATGCTGCGCAACAGGGCTTGGAGGCCGAGGAGGAGCATTCGCTGAAGATCAACACATCCATGGTGGATGGCATGGCACAGGAGATTAATGCACGCTCCGCTGTGCTGCGCAAGGAGAAGGAGCTGGAGGAAGCGCGTCAGCGTCTCAAGCATGTGCGACAGGCACAGCGTTATGCCAAGAATGCCCAGGGCTTTACCACAGACGAGAGCGACACGGAATATGCCTATGGCTCGCTCAACAGGAGCCAGAACAATGTATGAACAGCTTTCCTTTCCAGTTAGACTTAGACTTTAGACTGCACCATTGAATTGGCATTGTTGAAATCCTCACTTGGTGTCGGTTGTAGTTGCAGCTGTAGCTGATCCTAACCCTAATCTCTCTAACCAACCAAATGTCTCTTTCTCTTGCTAACCTTTAACAGACTCTGGGTCGTGGAGGAGGTGCTTATTACGGCTCGCAATCGGGCGATTTGCCCAGCTCGCCGAGCTACTACACGGGCTCTGGCGCTGGCAGTCAGCAGAAGCATCATTATAACTATGCCAGCCCGCAGCCGCAGCATTTCCATCATCCGGGCGCTGTGTCGCCACCGCCATCCAATTATGCGGCTATGGATGATGTCAATGGAGACTTTCCGCCACCACCGCCGCCATTGTCGACGACCATTTCTAATATGCAAACCGCAACGTCGAGTCACAGTTTTCGCTCTAATCCCAAACTAACAGCCAATGCTGTGCCACGCCCCTACCCGGGTAGTCCAGTGGGCGGCGCGGGCAGCAATGGTTTCACAACCACATCCGCCACCACACCCACTAACGCCAGCAACTACCAGCAAAGCTTTGAATCGTCCAGCATTAAAACGCAGAATTCATCCGCATCTGGCGCCCCACCAACTGTGCCTCCACCACCACCACAGAAACCCACGGGCAATCGCAATCTGGAGGCCTGTGTACAGGATCTGCACGACAAAACGTTTGGCCAGGGCGGCGTGGTGCAGCTAACAGGCGGCAATGCCTATCCCGGCCAGAACTACGAGGGCTACACATCCAGGTAAGGCAATATACAGATGCTAATCTTTAACCAAATGCTAAGATTTAACCACGTTCTTTAGCAGATACGAAACACGCAACTTTGACAAGGCAGCCAACAATAGCAGCAACAGCGAATCGGGCCTGGTCAAGCCGCTCGAGTCGAGCTTCTCGCAGATGACGCTCAACACGGATGGCGGCAAGATCAGCATTGTGGATCAGGGCTCCGAACGGCTTACCTCAATGACGCAGCGCGTCATGGAGCGCAAATCGTTTACAACCACAACTGAGTCGCGTTCCGAAACGAAAACGGAGAAGCACAGTTTTCGCCTCGAGTAGATTACTTAAGCCGGAGCAGTAGCAGCAGCTGCAATTGAAACTAAACGATAATATTTGCCAAATGTGCTTTTAACATTTACATAAATACTAATAGCAATAATTTAACAATTAATTATAATTAGCCACTAGCGTTAAAATGTCTATATATACACACACACACTACACACACACATACTCTATATACACACGGTTTGGACTTCTTTTCATAATTTCTATTTATGCGTTTCTTGTGTATATTTGTTGTGCTTGTCTACCTGCCATTTATATTGCCAATTGTTTATATACACATACACACACACACACCAACACACACACACACTATCTCTCTTTCAACAATTTAAACTGTAACCAAAACTAAATGCAGCTTGGGTTCAACGATTTAAATGTTAGTTCAATGCAATTTATTACTGTGCACCTAAAAACAAAAAACCATAAACTATTTAATCGAGTAATCTATATTTAACGCGATTTTAAGTTATTCAATTCAAATGTTGTTCACATAACGTTTAGTTCTTAAACCATCTATGTACGTAATAATTGTTCTATGTTCTTCTATAAAAACAAATCAGAGTTTTCTTTGCTCTTATCATTTCGTTTTTTTTTTGTATATACGAGTACATATATGTGAGCCGTCGTGTATACATAATTGCATATTTTATAATTGTGTATTTTTTGTAAATTAATAAAAAAACAATATTTTAACAATATATGGGTGTATGTTTTATATGAGAATTGACAATAAAGTTAAATATGTCAAGTATCTTAGTAGAAATCGATCTGCTTATGTCAGGATTGTTGAGTCTATGTTCTACATCGAATCTTCACTTCCCTCACTTATTCTTATTCTCATCTCTTTGTAATGCTTACCCCAAAAGTTTGCTTATGAGTAGCAGTAGAGTAAATCGAATTCGACTCTCTTAAAGACATATATAGAGACTACGTCTATCAAATTAAACAATCCCAATATTTAACAACAATATTCACAATTTAATTAATTATTCCACAATCAATATCTACACATATTTCACAAAAAATGCCTACAAAATATAAATGCAACAAATAGTCTTTCCGTTTATGTTGTCCTGCTGATTAGTCGTCATCAATTATTTGTACTCCTGGTTCAATTGACGTCCAATCAACCAGCGTCTGATCTCTGATGTGCCAGCCCCGATCTCATACAGTTTTGCATCTCGCAAAATGCGTCCAGTTGGGTTCTCATTGATGTAGCCATTGCCTCCCAGTATCTGAATGGCATCTAAGGCCAGCTGAGTCGCTTTCTCCGCGCTGTACAGGATGACGCCGGCGCAGTCTTTGCTGCTGCGTATGCCCGCATCGCAGGCACGGGCCACAGCATACAAGTAGCTGCGACAGGCGCCTAGAGTCGTGTACATATCGGCCATCTTGCCCTGCAACAGTTGGAATTCGCCAATTAGCTTGCCCATTTGCTTGCGCTGATGGGCATAGTCGAAGGACACATCGCAGGCGGCCTGCATAAGTCCCACTGGTCCGGCAGCTAAAACCAAACGCTCGAAATCCAGACCCGACATCAGAACGTAAACGCCTTTGTTTTCCTGACCCAGTATATTCTTGGCCGGCACCTTAAGATCCTGGAAAACGAGCTCGCAGGTGCTGCTGCCACGCATGCCTAGTTTATCCAGTTTCTGAGCTACACTGAAGCCTTCCCAGCCTGTTTCTATGATGAACGCTGTAATGCCGTGTCTATCTGGAACACCACTTCCTCCGGTTTTGGCATACACGATCAGTGTTTCGGCATCAGAGCCATTGGTAATCCAGAATTTGCTACCGTTTAGTACATAGTAATCGCCTTTGCGTTCCGCGCGTAGCTTCATAGAGACGACGTCTGAGCCCGCTCCAGGCTCCGACATAGCCAGACCTCCAATGTGCTCACCACTACACAGCTTGGGCAAATATTTTTCCTTCTGTTCTGGTGTGCCGTTCTTAGTCAACTGATTGATGCACAGATTGGAATGTGCTCCATAAGAGAGCGCCACGCCTCCAGCAGCTCTGTAAAAAGTGGGGTACATAATTGAGAACAGCTTATTGGGTTTAGTAAATGGGAACAGTTGAAGGGAACAGTAAGTGGGAATAGTGCAAGAGTAGAAAATATGAGAATAGCAAAAAAATTAACAGTAAATGTGAACACTACATAAATAATAATCACTTGTTACCTTGAAATCTCTTCCATAATGATGCAGTGATCCAAATAGCTACCGCCAGTACCGCCGTACTCAGGTTCCGCAGTAATGCCAAGGAAGCCAAGTTCGCCCATCTTCTTCCAGAATGAACGCAGATCTCTGAGGATCACAGGAATCAGAAAAGTGGCCTTTGTATGTCTTTTGCATAGCTTACTTGAAATTATCTAGCTTGTCTATCTCCTTGGCATGCGGTGCCAGTTCTTTTTGAAAGAAATTGAAGGCAATTTCTCGCAGCTTCTTTTGCTCTTCATTGAGGCCATACATGGCGTCATTTATGGGGTAATGGGTTAGTGTTCGTATCCATGGCGTGGCAGCCGGCAGACGACGTCCAGTATGTTGTAACAAACTGTTGCAAGTTTGGGCCACGAAACGCAAAGCCATTGCAATGGGAATGAATTGTAAAAACAAGAAACAAGTGTTACCTAACCTTTGATCAGCTGTGTGTGGGAGTGCTGCCCCCAACACCGCAACAGGTGGCAACGCTAGCGTGATCGCATTCTCTACAATAAGAACTATCGATTAGCTTATCGGCGACCAAGTATCGAATTCAAATACATTGAACTTTGATTCAATAATATTTGACATAGAATACGAAACCCGTTATTATTTGAATATCATTTTGAAAGAAATTTTCTGTTATTTATCATGTGCAGCAACCACGTTCGTAAATGCGCATGTCTCTACAATAGCCAACGTATCGCTTCGGCAATGCAATGGGTTTTATTGCTGCGCCGCACGCCGACCGCATCCTGGCGACGAAAAATGCCGACATCAACAAGAGCAACAACAACAACAACAATTGGAATGAGAACGCAACGCAGCGATAAACAAAAACAGCGCTATGGGCTCCTGTAATGGGAATTAAAAAAGTAAAATACCCAGACAGACCCATCAAATCAGTCCTGTTGTTGCCGCTCGTACGCGCGGAGCGTGTCCTTGAGTGTAAAAGGATTTTGATTGCTTTCGAATCCAAAAATATACATATGTACATTTGTTATTAGTGCGGCTCTCTCAATATCTCTCTGTTTGTGTCTTAAATGTGGATGCAAGCTGAAGCTGCTGCGTCCTGGAGTGCTACACAATCAATAAGTGAGCAAATGCGTATTTGATGGAATATGCATAAGACCATTTTGTACAATTCGGCAGGGCAAATCGATAAATGCCTCTTTAAGAGCTTGTAGCGTAATGGAATGTAATGAACACACGTGTGTGTGCGCTTCGATTAACGCTCTGACCATCCGCACCCCAACCATTGCATGCCACTGAGCTGCTCCACTACTATATCCTGTCAATCAACTCTACTTGGAAGCAGTTTGTATTGTAGGTACCTCTCCTACTCCCACTACACCTCTGCTCGCTAACAATGACTCTGTGTATGTGTGTGTGTGTTTTTTTTTTTACTATTTTCGTGTGTCACGTTCCATCGACAGGAACTATTGTTATCCAAACGTTGTTGTTGTTAATGTTGTAGTTATTGTTGTTGTTGTTGTTGTTAAGCACGCTTTTGTATTTGTTGCCATGTTGCTGTAATTACGACCTTACCGCCCACTCATACAATCATGCACACGCACCCATCAAAGGTCAAATATCAATGTTCGCATCTCGATTTATGATAAGCAGCCGGATTGCTGCTATATACTTAATGTTCGATTAATTCTAGTTTTAATGACTTTTCGGGCCAAGCACAAGTTTACATAAAATGCATTTAGAACTTGGGAGGGCCCCACGGGGCGTATGCTTGATATGCGTGCCGTATGCCTAATCAGCGCTTAATTATGTAGGCAAGCCTAGGCAGTCGGCAGGCTGGCAGCTAGTGCACTTTAGCAGACACTTAAATGCCGGCTAGCTATAAACAGATCACATCTCACTGTCAGTGCCGTGTTGCTGCATTCTTAAGATGCTTCGTCGTTGGCGCGCTGCTTAATGCCAAGTGGAATGAACTTGATGAGCAGCAGCCAGAATATAAAACTTGCCCTGCCTGCTGCCAGTGCCACTTGAGCGCATACAAAGGGCATTTGATGAGGCAGGCAATTGAACTTTGCAGCTGCTCCTCGGGTGGCCAGAAAACATGTCTGACATGCAAAACATGCAATGCTCAGAACTTGAACTTGTCGAGCAGTGGCATCATAATCAGCAACTAAATAAGAAACTTTTGATGAACTTTTGTTCTGCGAAACATGGCGTAGGGCAGCAGCGGAGACAATGCCTGCTGTTTGTATATATATGTATATAATTAAGCTCTATGTGATAAGCCAATGCAATTGCTCTCCAAAAAAAATAAAACTGCGAAATGCGCACACAAAATAAAAGGCAATTATATAGACGGACTAGCGAAACTATATATATATATGGGTATATATATGTATGTAAGTATGTTTGTCCAACGAGCGTGTGACCCAGCAAGAGTGACAGTCCAAAAAGTAAAAGCTCTCGTTGCCAGTGTGTCGCCCATTCAGCCAGCCAGCCAGCCAGCCATTTAGCCATTAGTCGCGCTCGGCACGGCAAACGATCGACGACAATCGACGACGGCAGATAGCTAACGACAACGCATGGACGCGACGGTTTACCGTGCGCGATTTTCATTCAATTTTCAACTCAATCGAGTTCTAAATACTCTGCAGCAGCAGCAACAACAAATACAACAAAACGAAAAACCTTAAAGCAAACGACACCGGGTGCCACGCCGAAGGCCGGTTTCCAAAAATAGTTGACGAGCAGCAGCGGCAGCGACAACAATTGCCTGATAAAATTATACACCCAAAAAAGTTAGTTAACGAATAATAAAAAATAATGCTAAAACACGCTTTAATTATAAAACAAAGTTACAAAAAGCATAAAAACAAAATTGAAACATAAAAAGTTTTTTGATGAAAAGAAAAAATCTTTTGCCGAAACGAAAGTAAAAAAGTGCCACAAGTGTTTATTTGCCAGTGTGTGTGAATGTGTGAGTGTGACAAAAATTAAATCACCGCATTAAAAATAACTTGAGAAAATCTTAATTTTCAATATATATATACATATATATACAGCTATATATATATATATTTGTACATATATTTATTCTGCGCCAAGTAATCAAAGCGACAAAAAACGCGGCGGGTGTGCGAGTGTCTCTGTGTGTGTGTGTGTGTGTTAGCTTGCCAAATGTCACTTGTGGCCACTGTGCGTCATTCAGTGCATATGTATGTGTGTGACTATAAAATATATATATTAATTATATAAAAAAGATATATAAAAATATATATTAATTTGCGCGCGTGTATTTTGTAGCTGAAGTAAAAACCGAGTCAAGCGAGTCAGGCCACAAAATGGAATCGAACAGCAGCGGCAAGCGCAGCAAAAAAGGACGCAAAGCGCGCCACACAGCATCCACACAACATCATCCGTGGGACGAAGGTAGGCAGCGCGCCCGACTTGGTACCAACTTGAATGATTAGCTGGCAAACGTTGCGTATACGCCGCATGGTCGACAGCCTTCAGTTCTCTGTAACTGCGAGTAATGTTGCCTCGACTGAATCTTTCGCCTTTATATATATATAGCACATTACTTATTCTGTGGTTGCCACGCCCGCTTCTCGTCGTCGCCCTAATACTCAGCTGTGCTCAATTTGAACAGCTGCCAAAATATGTCCGTCGCGAGTTGGCGCCGCAAATGCAGCGCATCATCTCAATATTCGCTTTCATTTCTCAACCAAATCTAACGGGAACTGTAAATCATCTTTAACTACAATTTGTATGTAAGCGCTGCAACAAAGTGGCTTATTGTTTTTACAACTGAAGCGAACAGATCTTTTGTTGTGGAACAAGCGAGATTGTTGAAAGCTCTTTCACGATTTTATTTATAGAAATCAAATGTTTTTTTTTTTACTATTTGACATGACTAAATGGTTGAATTATATATATAATAGTTATCTCTAGCTGTCGAGCAGGTAGAACAGGGAACAAATCAAAACTTTGGTTTGGTTTAGCTTTGAAAGTTTAGAAGATATGGAAAATAGTTGAAATTCCTTTATATAGAAGCTTGCAGTTAAGGCAGCAAAAAAACTAATAATATATGACTTGCCACGCCCCCAATTAATATATTTACAATAAGAGTATGTTTAAATATAGTCTGTGATTCACTGAGCTGAGATTCTTTTAATATTTACAGATGAAAGTTAAAGAATTTGTTGCTTAGTTTTTTCTCAGTTTCAATATTCAGCTGAGTTTCCACAAATTCAATTTTTATTATAAAAATAAAATACAATTTCTAAACTTTTAGTTCTTTTATTATTCCATTCATTATTCTTTAGCTGCGCAACAGCATTTCTCTTTATCAGTTCTAAACAGTTAGAGCCATAATAATTTATCTTTTTAGCTGCCATATTTTAAAGTTATCGTTGGCCCATGAATACGATTTGCCTTTCAGGTTTTTTCCTCAGGCAGACTTTGAGCTGGCAGCTGGCAGCTGGCAGCTGGTTCATCGGCACTGCACCCAGGGGCGTGTTTCACGCTGTGTGAACTAACAAACGGGTTTTTCTCACTATTTGCCGTTACATCAATCAAAATTCAAATGAGCTAGAGAAAAGAAACAGAAACAGAAGACGAAGAAGCAGCAGAAGCTGTATTATATAGCTGGGCCTGAGCTAAACGAAAGTGAAATGCAGCTGCCACAATCAAGTGGATGCCACAAGCTAGCTGCACTGATAAAAAAACATTTCCCATTTCAATTTAAGCACTTGAACAGCAGAGATTCATGCTGATTGCCACTTGACTAGAGAGATAAGAAGTCAGCTGTTTATATATACATATATATTATGTGCATGACTTAACTGGACTCGGTCCAAGTTCAAGTCATGCTGCAATGCCGCATTGCACACTGGGAGTGAGGCACGTAGACCAAACCATTAGCAGCTGGGCATATGATCAGTTCAGTCTTATCTTATCTCCTGACTGTTTGTATATACACATAGCTCTTGTTCCGATAAGCTTTGTCTGGCAGTACAATTCAAATTTTATGATTGCACAATTTTTTTTTTTTGTTTTATTTTTTTTGGTATTTATGACAGTGGGAAAGTCGCGCAGAACTGTGTGACAAGGTTCGAAAGGCTTTAAGCCAGGCAAAACATATGACAAATTAGCTAGAAATAAATATATATATTTTTCAATTATATAAAAGACCTTCGACTAGAACTTCATTATCAACAAAAGTCACATATATATATATATATTTATATATATTTTGTCCGCTTCTTCGAATATCTTATTACTTATGTGAAGAGGCTAATTCAGCGCTAACAAAATGTGCTAAAATGAACGAACCAACGCAATGCTACTAATCAATCATGTTCTTCACTGATTAGCATGCTCTCATACTCGACTTGGATGAGTCAGTGTCGCCACCATTTGGCTGAGATGCCGAGCAACAAGTGGAGGAAGCTAAAGTTAAACTACGTCTAATGGAAATTTGATTGATTTGCAATTAGCAGCAGTCGCATCACATGAGTTCAGGCTAAAATTCTAATCACAAGCGTTGACCTAATTGCAGGCGGCACAACACCAGCAGCAGCAGCAGCAGCAACATCTGTGGCAACAGCAGCCACATCTGCAGCAACAATAAATCGCATTGCGTGCACTGGCACCGCGTTGACACGTTTTCTGGTTTGCATGGCACCTGTACTTGGTAATACTCTACCTTTCTTTTTGGTCCATGTCTGTTCTCATTCATGAAGCTGCGACTTCCAGCCAGCCATCAACAAGAGCATTAAGAAACATTTGTATTTGTGCCTCGTCTTGTCATTGAATGCATTATATTCAGTTAAATATCCGTTCCAATACATGCATATATATCTATAGATATATTTGTATACACATATCATTTATTTATACACATTCAGCGTGTGTTTTTGTCTTGTAGCAAAAAAAAAAAACACTCTTTTGCCTAGTCTTCATCTACATATGTGCGGCATACGGAGCGTATACGTTATATATTTATTTTGTATATTTATTTTGTTTTTTTGTATGTGCTTGTTTGATTTTTGATTCTATTACGTCTTGTTCTCTGCTCCCACGTCAAGTCTCGCTCTCTGTTTTTGCCGTTGTCGTCTGTCAACTGTCGTCGCGTGTTGCTCTTCTTATTGTAAGTTTTTTTTCAGCTGCTTTGGAGGCAATCGTCAAATATGACGTAAAGGAAAATTATTTAAGTATGCGTGCGTGTGTGTGTGTGTGTTGCCCTGAACTATATTTATAGGTATATAAATTTAAAATGCCAACAAGTCCAGTCAAGGTCATTGTTTACTCAAATATTCGCTTTAAGTATGCATGCCCAAGCTGAACCGAAAAGCATTTATTAAAATGCACTTCAAGCTGATTTGAGCCAAGAAACAATCAAGAATAATTGCAATAATTAGGGTGTCTAAGCACAGCGACACAGCATTTGCAGCCGTTTGCAATGTGTGTCAGATTTATTTTCAAACAACAAGTCGCTGGCTCGCAACATAGCGCATACGCAATGTGTGCCAGACGAAATAGTTGACTTCTGGCAACAACTGTTGGCTATGGCTTATAAATTACATATAATTAATATTGGGCATCCTGTTTGGAAGTCTTTCTGCTTTACGCTTAAATGATTCTATATATAACTATAGAGAAAACTAGCTAAGGGCGACCTTGGCTATTGGTTTGATCCGCAATGCCTCACAGTGCAAATTTCGTTCAGCTTGGCCTGGTTTATGCGTCTGTGTGTGTATAGATGGAAAGAGGTTGCACATACGCTCTTCAGCGAGAGCAGCTACACGTTAATGACAACGTCAAACGTGAAAAGTCGTCGCTGTCGTTGTTTTGCTTTGCGTAGTATTCCAAGCGCGATTAAACGTCGAACATGTGAAGCTCGAGAGACGCCTCTCAATTTTATTATTTACAACTTTTTTGTTATCGTTTTTTTTTATTTTTATACCTTAATTTACAATTATTTATTAAACTTGATTATGGTTTACATCTTTCTAAGCGTCGCTGGCTATTACGGTGAGTTAAACGGCATATAAATGACGCCCGCCCGCCCGGCTTCCAATCGATTCGCGTGCTTTGTTATGCAATGCGAAAAAGTTCAGCGAACGTCAAATTAATCAAATAAGTGGACAAACTGTAATCGTGTGGCGTTTTCATACTATTTTTGTTTTCGTGTAATTGAAGTGCGAGTGCGCCTATATTTAGCTCTAGCTTTAGCTTCAGCTTGAGCTATTAAACGCACGTGTTACGCATACGCCACGTTGAGCGTCGAGAGCAGCCCTTGAACTTGCCAGCAACGACTCGGAAGCAGCAGCAAATTTGTCAATTTTCATTTACGGCAACTGGATTATGTATTTCTTCTTATGGGAATAGCAAAGGCCTACACTATATACATGTGTGTCTAGCGACCATGCAAGCCAAGCATGTCAGTTACGCTCGAATTGTGTTGGAAACTCACACAGATATCAGATATAGATACATGTATAGACTTTGACATAAGTACAGCAGAGGTTGGCTAAGTGGGAAACGTAAGATTGTAAATTTAAAATGTTTATATTTAGCGCTCAAGTCAGCTTCGAAATGATATCACAGCGCTCCCTTTAGATTTTAGACGTGAGTCGTGAGCAGTGGGTACACAGCTTTGCATAATATTTCTAATATATCTGGGGGAACATCATGTTGAGCCAATCAGCCAGGCAAAAACAAATTAATTACTCACTCTCTACGTCATTGTGGCACACATACATATATAATTCTAGACATATATATGTACACTTATGTCCATGTACAAATCTGAGCGCCCCCATTCATCGAGAGAGAGGGCAAAAGCAAAACAAACAAAAAACTGAAAGGCGTAACGAAACAATTTAACAATTTAACAATTTCATTTTTGTGGCTCTGTAATAATTTTTTCGCAATTACGTTAGACGTCAGCTGAAAACATGTGTACCCAACGGCTACAGCTAAAAGTCTATATAGCTGGGATATAATATATGTCTGTACTATCGTATATTTGGGCAAAAAACAAACAAGCACGTCTATTGTATGTTGGCCATAAAATGTAGTCAGACGACTCATCAATGAAAATTAGGCACATCAAATGTTTGATGCATGCTGAGCAGTTGGATAGAAACAATTGGGTAGCTTAATCAGAGAGGCAAATATGTTTGGGACTAAATATTAGCTATGCTTAATATAGATGTGCTAAATCAAAGCTATGATAAAGCAAGATATTAAAAAATTGGTTTTGGTTTAAATTAAATAGTTTTCCTTTATGCTTTAAATATTTTTTTAAAAATTTTATAGTATTTGAAAATTGATTAAAATTGAAATTTAAATAAAAAATAGAGTCTGTAGAAGACTTTTATGAAGCGAGCAAAAATTTAATAAAAATAAATTAAATATTATTTGCAAGTAATAAAAAATAAATGTTTTATAGAAATATATTCAAAGAAAAAAAAAATAAAATAAAACATAAAAATTAAAATGAATAATACTCACAATTAGAATAAATCTAAATTAAATAAAAAAAAAATTAAAGGGTAAAATTTTGAGAGTCAATGCCTACATATTGGAGCCCAGTATTACAGGGTATATAGTATAAAATAGTGTGTGTTTTATAGCTAGTTGGCTTTGCTGCTGCTACTAGTTGCGCTGCGCTCTTAGTGTTTTATGGAGCACAGCTAAATTAGGTGTAATTTGTGTGTGCTTAAAAAGTAAACTGAAATTTGTTTACGAGTTGAACTCGTTGCCGATTTTCCAGTTTGTGTCTGCAGCAAGTTCTTTAACGCGGCCAAAAGCAAAACAAAACAAATCGCAGCACCAGCACCACAGCCAGCCACAAAAAGCCAAATTCGAATTGAGCACAAACGGCAAGCGCGAAGGCAAAGAGCACGCAGCCAGCCAGGCAAAATACCAAAAAAAAGAAAAAAACAACGAAGAAAAACTAAAACAATTTCAATTTCAAAAGCAAATTTTTGTCTGTTTAGTATTGTATTTTAAAACCAAGCAATTGTTGAGAGTATGAAAATCTGTTCAGTTCAGTTGGCTGCCAGGTTGGGTTGGCGTCTCTCTGCTGCTTTGCGCTCGATGCCAGTTGGCCCCGGACAATTTCAGTGCACGGCTCGCGACGCTGCAAAACAATTCGAGGATAGTGCAAAAAATAATTAAGAAAAATTATACTCAAACTATAATTAACTATATATCAAATCGAACAGTTTTACGTACCAGTAAAATTTTGTATAAACGAAAACGAATCGAAAAAGAAACGAAATTTTTGAACTGAAAAGTGCAAACCATTTTTGGTAAATATTTAGCAAGGAATTCTACGGATTTCGTAATTGCAACATTTTCAAATACATTGTTGCTCTCGCAAATGTCTCTCGCACACTCTCTCTCTGTCTTTCTCTCTCTCCTTCTCCTTGTCTCTGTCTTGGTATTTGTGTATGCACAATTCTCGCTGTCTTATGTAATTGTCGATTGTTGCGAATTGTTGTTGTCGTCTCAAAGAAAAACAAATACGTACGCATTATTTTTAGCACCTGTGAAACGGCTGTGCATTCGTTTGTAAGTAAATAAGTCTCTGATTATGTTTGTGCTGACCTCTTGCAGTGTCGCTACCTGGCGCTGGAACTGGCCCGAGTGAGCAGCCAACCATTTTGCTGATCAACGGCATCAGCGACGACGCTCAGCTGCAAGAGAAACAGAAACAGAAACAGAGCAAGGCGGAACTGAAGCTAGCCCTTGAGAATAACAACGAACCGGTTGGCGGTTTCAGTCAGCCCACACAAGTGCCCACTACGCCGGGCGGTTCGCATTTGCTGGACTTTGAATCTCATCTGATCGAGGACGTGAACGCAGAGCAGAGCGGCGTTGGCATCAACGAATTGCCGCCCATCGAGCAGGAGCTGCAGAAGGGCACATCGAAGATCGACGCTGACGGAGCCTCACATGTGTTTGAGGTGGAGCCAGCGGGCGCCAAGACAAAGCAGCCAATAGAAACTCTCGCACCGTCGCATCAAATTGCCGAGGTAGACGAGACGGCAACGGCAACAGCAGCTGCAGCAACGGAAGCATCGGAAGTATCGGAGGCAGTGCGTCAGACTGCCGAGCAGCTGGTAAATGATATCGAACGCGAGCTAATTGAGAGCTTCAGCAAAGATGTAGCACAGGCCAAGGCGGAGCAGGAAAAGCAGCTCAAATCAGAGCTAACCGCAGTGAATTCGCTGTCACAGCAGGTGGATGCCCAACTGAATGAGCTGACCAGCATACTCAAGACCAAGCTACAGCCAAAGATTGTCTTGGACCAAACTGGAGCGGAGGAACGAAACTCAACGAAAATCGCTGCCAACGAGCTGAAGCTTGTCGAAGTGCCAACACCCAAATCCGAGGCAGAGGAACAGCAACGCAAGGAGTTCATCGATTCTCTGCCACAAATCGAACAGGATCGCCTGGGCACTCACACGGATGCGGAGGCCAAGCGTCTGTCCGCCGACTGCAAGCGAGAGTATTACCAATCGCTCAAGAAGTATCTGTTGCAGAACAGCCAAGACAAGCCACCTGTGCCGCTTCAAACCTATCGCTGGGAGGATCTCCGGCGAGCTAGAGAGCGGGTAAGTCTGGAACGCCGAAGGGCTAACATTTCCTTGTATACGTATCTAATGATTTCGACTTACAGGGCGGCTATCCTTGGACACATCTCTACAAGCGTCCCTTGGGACCCGACGAGGAGCCGGAGATTGTTTTGCTACTGCGCAAGTCGCAGGAGCTGCGCTTCAAGTCCGAATCACCCAAGTCGCTGAAGAAGGTGCGCTACGACGAGCAGGTATTGGTTAAGGAAACAGAGCGCTACATACAGGATCTGTCGGAAGACGAGGTCGTAGGCCACACAGACGACGACGACAGCAGCGAGGAGTCAGAAGATTCCGACGATTCAGAGCGCGAGACCCACAACGAGGACACACTTAGTGAGTGCATTTCGTGTGTCTCCGATTCGGTGCTCGCAGTTGGAGGTCACGCGAGACCAAGGAAAACGAATCGATTGGCGCAAATACGTGACATCATCAAGCGCAGGCGCAGCGGACGCACTCAGGCCGACGCTCAGTCGCTGCCCGGCAGCTCGGCCAACCCTAGCAGACAGGGAAGTCTGCACGAACTAGCGCCACCACCCGGATCGTTAGTTCCGAATACAGACAAGCCACCCAAGAAGCAGCAGAAGCCCAAGAAAAGCTTCGACATTATGAAGAAGCTCAAGAGCTTGGCGGAGCGCCAAAAGAAGCGCTTGAATATCAAGCGCATCACGCTCAAGAAGGACGAGAAAATTGTCCTCGGTGAGCAGCAAAAGATTATGAAGCTAAAAGCCTCACCAAAGTCGACCCGCGGCGAGATACCGCACTTCATAGAGAAGCAGGACTCAGATGATATTCTCGAGCTGGTGGAGTACGATGAATCACCCTGCAGAAAGAGAACCAAAGAGGAGGAGCTGCAGGATGAGCTGCCCAGCACTAGTGCAGCTAGCGTCCCACAGCCGGATGAGATCATTGAGCTGCCCGTGGAGCAGACCAAGACTGAAGCGCCAGCTCTGGAAGTCAGCGAGCCAGCACCAGAAGCTATTGAGGAGCCCATCGAGCTGGAGGCGGAGACGCCACCTAAGAAAACGCCACGTCTGCGTCGCGAGCACGTTTACGAGGAGATTGGCCAGGCTGAGTCACAGCTGCCGCTGGAACAGCCCTTCGTGGAGCTCGATACTCTTAAGAAATCGCTAACGCGTCAAGATAATCTGGCTGCAGATGACATTGAGGCAGCTAAGCCTGTGCCCCTAGATCGCATGGGCAGCAGCGAGGAGGATCAGGTGGCCGTGGCTGCTGCTGAGAGATCTGTGGGTCTTCTAGCGCCAATCTCATCGATAGACTCCACGTCCTCGGACGAAGAGCGTGCGCGACTCGCACAGCTGTCGCCCGTAGTTGAGGAGAGCGATGAGCCCTCGGAGATTAGCGAATTGCGACCCGTACTGAAGAAGGAAGCCTCGCCGGCGCCATCGGACAAGAAGGTGACCTTCTCCCACGTCGAAGATGAGGCCGAACCGCACCGTGAGGACATCGAACTGCCCGAAGACGTGCTGGAAGCGGCCACAACGGCGGCCAAATTAAAGAGCGATAGGTAAGTGCGGGGCTTGGGCTTTAATTATCCACTATTCTCTGCACGACACTAACACAGAGCACAACACAACGACGTCTTGCAGAAAATCTAACATAATTGACTTGCTTATGAAATTGTTACTAACCCTCTTGCCGGGAGTCGATGGCGACGGCCTGCGACGTCGCCTGCAGAGTCTCCGGTTCAGGCAACACAAGCCCTACTACCGCGACTACCACTACACAGACCACATCGACACAGACAACACCTCCACCTCCACGTCCACCCCCACTCACAGAACCAGGCGATTGAGGCTAAGCAACACTTGGACGCTCTGCTGCTGCTGCAGCAGCAGTGGGGCAACCAAGAATTATTGGTAATGGGTAGCTTTGGAGACGGCTCTTAACTCTTAACATGATATAGACCCAAGGTAAGAACTGAGAGGAAATTTGTAAGCGTCTAAAATGGGCTCATATGTGTTGTCCCCCCTTGGTGTTGGTAAATCTCAGAAATCATGGCTGAACAGCAACTTATGCAACTAGTTCAATAGAACAAATTTATTTTAAGACGAACTAATGAGTGGTGAACTGTGGAACTAGTTTAAAGACCAAAAATATGTTTGAATTGCAATGTTTAGTCACGGAACTAGTTCAAAAAGGTTTTGCTGAACTGTAGAACTAGTTTAAATAATAACAAAATTGCATTGGTGAAATAATCATGGAACTAGATCATTCGAATCATGCAACAAGTCAGTGAATTTATGCGGAACTAGTTCATAAAAGCAGTCCAGCTTAAAATCGAACAATAATGGAATCAATGGAATATATGAACTAAGTGCGAAACTAGTTCATTTATATGTGTATGGAACTAGTTCATCAACACTTTTAATTTATAAGCAAGAACAAAATCTATACAGCATTGACTGATGAACTAATCGCGGAACTAGTTCATAGTTGTAGTTCCAGTATAATCTATATATTCACTTGCAACTGTAACTATTTCAATGAACGCTGCTGTGACATGAACTTACAATAAAACACGAACAACTTAAACGCTTTAAAGGTCAACGAATGACAAGAAGATTTCCGGCAGGCAGCGTCGACGCATTGCTCAAAATAGAACCACTAAGTGCAGGCCAACAAATTGTTACTCCTGCTGCTCGGCCACATCCCAATTATGAGCAAGCAGCGCAGTCTGCGTCGCAGTCGCTGTGGCAGTGGACGTCGCAATGGGGATTTCAAACGAGGAAATTAAAGGCAACTACAAATTCAGTTCATGCTGCCCATTGGCTATGTATGCGTAGCCATGTATATATATATGCATATATATATATATATATATATATATATATATGTGTGTGTGTGCTTTTTGCTAATTTTAAAGAACAACATATTCAAAAACGAAAATTTCGTAAAATTTTTTGTGTCGCGCAAAATGAAAAGCTTTCAGTCCTGGCCGAAAATCGCAACGATGTAGACGCTCGATTCGAACGTGGCGCAGTGCGATCAAAAAAGAACCAAATCTAGACCAACGAGTTGAAACATATATATCTCGAGACGGATTCGTAACCGAGCTAAAGCTTGAACAACATAAAAGACATACGTGCTGGAAGCGCCAGTCGGGATAAGGCTTGAGCAGTAGAAAAAGCTCTTGTTGCCACAAAATTTTCGATAGTGCAAAAAATTGAAGAAAAAGCAAAAGCTGAAAATCGAAAGAAAATTATAAATTCAATGTCCAAAGGCGACGGCGGCGGCTGCTTTGGTGATGCTTAAAAATAGACAACGACCACGAACCACAAAACGACAACGAAACTAAGACGAACAAAAGCGAAAATAACAACGGCAACAACAACAACAACATTAGCAACTACATCTAGCGGATTACGGACCAGGGCCAAGTAAATAGGCAAAGCTGCAGCGACAGCTGCTCAGCTGTTCAGCTCATCTCAGCTACATCGCTCACCTCATCTGCTGAACGATGCTCAATTCGAGACGCTCCGCCTCGGTGGGCGCTCTGCCCGCTGAGAAGAAGCATTTCGTGTCACGCGTGGAGAGTGCCAGCGGCGCCTCGTTGGATGTCCGCTGCGCCTGTCAGTTCTTTCAGTGCGATTCGCTGCTGCCGGAGCGCGTGAATCCCGTCGATTCGCGGCCTGGCTCAAGGCAGGGCCAGCACAGCGATGACCACTTTCATTTGCAGCCGGATGATTTGTCCATGCACAGCTTTGAGGTGATTAGCCATGCGGATGTGGCGCCCTCGGTGGATCTGAGCTTCATGGAACGCTATCCGGAGCTGGAGCAAACAGCTCGTTCGCGTGGCCTGGTCGTGCGCAGCATCTCGGATGCCACGGATCCAGATATGCCGGGCAGTCAGGGTGCTCTGGTCGCGGGCCGGCGGCGTCAGCTGTCTATGGGCGGATTTTCCTCGGGTAGCGTTGGGCGCTTCGGCGACACCGTGTCCATGCGCAGCGGCACCTCCTTGCGTCGCATCTCAGCGGGCAATTCCAAGACGGACCTCTACTGCGCCGATATTAACATACCCACCTCCATGGGACGTACAGTGGCTGGAGGTCAGCGCTCGGCCAGCGCCAGTCGACGAACCTCCAATGCGGATCTGTTTCAGGCCAGCATCGTGCCGGGTTCACTGCAGCCGCCACAGTTGAATCTGATTGCCGCCACGCCCAGTCCAGGCATGTCAGACATCGCACCGCAGTTTTCATCACATCAATCCTCGCCAGCGCCGGGAGCTCACGACTTTCGCAATGCTAAGCCGCCTCTGTCTCCGGATTATATGCGTCCCAGCGCTGCCAATAAGGAGAATCTGTTGCCAGGCGCTACGCTACCACAGAACCGACCCATTGACGTTTCGCGCTTCGGCTGCGATGCAGTGCGTCCCTCGTTTTTGCTGGAATCAGACCTGAAGCAGCAGCAAAGTCCCTACCAGCCCACAGTCACGCCCATCGATCCGCTAGCCGAAACTGTGGCGGAGCTGGAGCGATCTGCTCAGGAGCATAATCTAGTGAATATCAGAGACAACATACAGACGCAGACCAGACGTCCGCCGTCCATTGCCAGCGAGCTGAGCGCCAAGCCGCTGCAGCTGAACGAGTTGACCCAAATTGAGATTGTAAACGATATACCCGTCGTGGACATTGATGCACTAGTGCGGGGGGAGGAGCTGAAGGCCGTGGAGCATCGCAGTCGCAGTCCCAGACCATCAAGGCGGCCCAAGTCGCCGCAGCCACCGCCAACGACCTCTGCTCCAGCTCCGGCCCAGATGGCCACGCTGCAGCTGCCTTCAAGCCGACCCACCAGTCCCACACAGCCAGCTGCCGCCGCACAGCTCAAGCGTCAACACACACCCGAGCGACAGCTCTCGCCGGAGCGTGCCACCAAATGGCAGCCCATGTCTAGCTCTCCAGCTGCTACAGTTGTGGGTGCCATTAACCTGCAGGCGGCCTCGCCTGAAGTAAAAAGTTCCTATGCCTCGCGTTTCAAGTCCATGTTCAGTTCAAAGCCTCAGGAGCAGCGGCAGAAATCGCCCACTCCTCAGCGCTCCCGCTCAGCCTCCCCGTTCGTGGACAGCTCCCAAGCGGTCGCACGGGAGAAGTCTCCCTCGCCCAGCAAGCTTACCTCCGTATTCTCCAAGAGCAAGCCCCAAGCCATGTCAATTGTCAGCAGCACGTCGAACGTGATGAAACGCCAAGATGCCGAGCCGCTATCCGTGCGAGTTACAGAGACATTCTCGCTGAAAGTGGACGAGATGGACCAGTATAGCACGCTTCCACCCAAGCCCTTGGCGCCACCTCCACATGCCCAGACTATGTACAGCAGCCGGGAGGACTTTGCCGCCTCGGAGCGGGCCTCTGTGGACGTCAGCGAGGCATTTGCGCCGGTCGTCGTCTCCTCTGTGCCGAGGGGCACCATCAGTAGCATTGGTGGTGCCAGTAGCATTGGTGGCGTCAGTTTCATGGCGGGCAATCGGAATCTTTATTCAAGCGAGATTGAGATGCCTGGCATGAGCTGGTCGCAGAGTGAGTCGGAGTTTCGGCACTCGAGCAGCAAGGATCCATCGATTGGCAGTCGTCCACTTATATCCGTGCCCATACATATTACGGGCAGTGGCAGCCAGGTATATAGGCCAGCGGCGCAGCGCTTTGGCTTGCAGAGCAGCAAGCTATCAGTTAGGGAGCCGCGCACACAGTCGCACGATCACCGTGGCCGGTTAGCCGGGTCCCATGAGCAGCTCTATGGGTCGCCGGCTCGCATGACAAAGACGGTTAGTTTCAATTTTGATGAGCGTAGATCGCGTCTAACGGAATTTGAGTCCGATTCGCCCCTAACCCAAAAGCAAAAAGATCACATCGACTTCCTCGACCGGACCTATTTCTCTCGGTAAGCAACAGCTACCCCACTGTCGGCTTAGACCACAATCCGAAACCCCTCCAGACACACACAACCACCCAGAAATTCCCAAAACCAGCTATGAGAACAGGGTGACGGCTTATCTAATCTTCGCTTGCAACAAACAGCAAACAACAAACAACAAACAACAAACAGAACAACATCTATGTGTCGATTGTCATCCCTATGAAACTAGTTGACTAATCTGTTCCATATTTTCCCCCGTTCTTTCCTCTTGCAGTGATCATGAATATGAGCCCGTGGGCGTGTCGCCGGCGCGAGAGATTGAAGTTTTGCCAGCAGCTACGCCGGCGCCCGCCCTAAACGGCAGCAGCCTCCAGATACCCATGGATGTTGACATTGAACTGAGCTCAGCTGGAACTACGCCACGCACCGAATCTCGCACGGACTACGAGATACATACTAGTCAAGTGGATTCGAGCGCTTTAGAGGAGCTGCCACTGCAGCCGGAGAATCGCAAGAAGAGTTTCATGGCATCCGCCCAAGATCGCACGCGCAAGATGCAGGATGGTCTACGCAACCAGGCGGGCAAGTTGCGCACTAAGCTGCGCACACAGCCCAAGCCGAAACCCGTTTCGGGCAGTCCCAAGGCCAAGGCCAAGGAGCGCAGACGATTTGCGTCTGAGTTCTCTAAGATTAAAATGCCCGAAATCAAGCGGCCCGACATGTCCAAGCTGAAGGAGATCAAGCGACCGGAGTTCACCAAGTTTAACAAGCCGGATATGTCCAAGTTTAAGTTGCCCGAGAAATTCTCCACGCTCAAGCTGCGACGCAGCAAGAGCTTTAAGGAAAATGAGTCCGAGTTGCCCACCGAGTCCACGGAGTCGCCAGCCACAACGGCTGACGCGCCGCCTGCGCCTGCAAAGAAGAAGTTCGAATTCAACTTCGGCACCTATCCACGCGCCTTTCGCAAGAAGAAGCCCGCCGATGAGACGCCACCACCCATGGAATCCTCGCTGGGCACGGACCGCCTTAGCGTCAGTGTTATACCCAGCACCGAGACACAGCCGTCGCAGACCTCCACAAGCTCGCCGCAGGGCGATCGTGGACCAGGTCCGGTTCGCTCCCGTTGGGCAGATAAATTCTCCGATGTGAGTTATAACGACAGCGAGGGCTCACGCTACAGACGCTATGGCAGCGAGTTAGAGAGCTTTGACAGGGAATCCTCGCTGGAGCGACGCATGAAGGAGGATTTGGAGGGCGATACGGCTAGCGAGGCGCAGCCACAGCCCGAAATGGGCATCCTTGGGGCCGTCACGGACAGCAAACAGTTTGCCGAGTTTGATGAGGAGAATCGTGCCATACACGAGATCTCCAGCCAGCGGACCAGAGAGTTCAAGCGCCGACCTATGGTGCATCAGGACTCGGACCTGCGGTCCGAGGATAGTCACGATGCGGAGGGCTGGACAGAGAAGGATATACAAAAGAACAAGCTGCTGCGCAAGGCAGAAATGGATGCCGAGGCCAGCTACTACAAATACCATGAGATGCAGGATGCCCAGTCGACTGCCAGCTCCGGCAAGAAGGTCGTCATGGAGCAGATCGACGATGACGAGTTCTTTTTGCGCAAACGCGGCATCTCCGAGGACAACATCCAGCTGCGTCAATACATAAGCGATGCCATACGTGAGGGCTACGATCCGCCCAATGCATTGCAGCACGTAGGCCACTCTGCACAGCAGCAGGAGCGAGCGAGGACCGAGGATTACGGCGATTACGATGTACCGCCGCCTAAGCCGCGTCGTCTGCATCGCCATTACCGCCCCGATTTCGACGACTCGCAGGAGTTCCAGCGCAGCGACTATGGCGACGATCTGTCCATGTCACAAAATGGCAGCGACTTCCTGCCCAAGCGTCCGTTGCGCAAGGCACGCAGTCGCAGCAAATACTCCATGGAGGGCAGCCAGGACATACCGATGGCCGATGGCGGCAGCAGCATACAGTACTTCGACGACGACGAGGATTACCTTAGACCGCCCATGCGCGAACAGGCCACTGAATCGGAGCAGGCTCTAAACAATCTCAACTATGCTGGCCAGGAGCAGCCAACTCAACAGACTCGTCCAGAGGCACCCAGACGGCAAAAGAAACGCACACGCGACGATGGATCTGTGGAGAAGGACGCGGATTCGTTTATCAATGGCTTTGGTGGTAGATCAGTATCGAACACCTTTTTGCAGCCACACGAAGATGTGAGTACAAAATGCTTGATGTGCCACAACTGAGCAAAAAACCCAATTATGGATTGTTTCGCTGATATACACACATAATTCTCTATATTTTATTTATATTTACACATTGTGCATAGATCGACTATGTGGTGCATTAGTAAGGAAGTCCTTGCTCTTTAGGAAGTTTTCTTAAGATACGATCCAATGATTTTATAGAATTCAAATTAAATTTGAAACTTTCAACAAATGATCTCTATATAATATAGATAATCCCATAGCTATTTGGCATGCCTTCTGCTAAAATTAGATGAATTCTAATTTGAGTTGTGCCTCTTGTAAAACATTCTAGGGCACATGCTTATAATATATGTTCTGTCAGTAAAATGGATCAATGCCAATAAATTTATAGTTGAAGCTTCTATGTGCTATGCTGACATACACCTTTGTCGTTTGCCAGGTAATTGTTTATCGCACTGAGCACGAATATCAGCATCACATACCGCTAGCCACGCCCGACACCTTTACGGACGGCACCTCGGCGCGCACTCAGCGCTCCGAGGATGAGCGCACCTCGCGTGGCGCCGAATCGTTGATCCTGGATGTGCACACCAAGCCGGAGCTGCTCAATAAAGATGCAGCGCCCAGAATTGAAAGCGAGGAGAAGTTCGTCATCGACATGCTGGAGAGCGATGGGTGAGTAACGGGGTCGCATCAGGTCTCAGCTGGCCAAATTGTTGCTTAGGTGTGCGCTCTCTGCTTCCCTCCACTATCTAGCTATGCCGTGGTGCGCAAGGAACCAGTGCCAAAGCCGACGCCCCCAGCGCGTCGCAAGAAGTTCGCGCGCTCGCCCGGCGAACGTTTTGCCACCCTGCCGAGCATACGTGGCTCGCGCGGCTCTCCGCCACCGGCCCGGCCGCCACCGCCGCAGCAGTATATACCCAGTGAGGACTCGCCATTGCCGCCGCGACGCCGATCGGCTGCCAGCCTGGAGGAGCTGACCAGCGGCCTGCTGCTCAAGTCAAAGTAAGAACAGCTGCTGCGACGCTTGCATTGAATTTTTTCTTGATTTCTGACTTTTTGCGACCTTTTTTTAAATTGTCTCGAATGCATTTTTGTTAAGTTTTGTTTTTGTTGTTAAGTTATTAGCCTTAAGCGCCGTAAGCTAAGACCCAGATTTACTGCTAATTAATACTACTCAAGCCAAGATATACCTTATAAACAGACGCGCCTACACACCCACACACTTACACACAAATAAAACCTGAACATAAAACACGAAACGCACTCACACGAGTTTGCCCAGCTTTTATTTGCCAAATCCTCGTGTTTCGTTTGCCGCTTGCTTTCACCCGAGTCCGAGACCAAGCGTTTCTAATGCTCCTTAAACCCTATTCCCTAGCTACGCGACCTTGCCGTCCGTACAGCCGGCTCGGGAGCAACAGCAGCCGCAACTGTTGGAGGAGGAGGATGATTACGAAGAGCCGGGTGCACTTCTGCGACCCGAATCCCCACGTTCGAATCTGCAGTCCGGCGAGGTCATCAACAAAATGAAGTTCCGACCACTGCCACCACCGCCACGCCCACCGCGCGAAAAGCGCTCAACGAGGGGCGGCAGCGCATTGGAGTACGAGGACAGCGAGCGCGTGGCCAGCTCCTCCACGGCCGATAGCACCGAGCAGGGTGAATTCGAGGTGGAGGTGTCCACACAAACGGATCCATTGCCAGATGATTTTGTGTGCGAAGAGTTTGAGATTACGGAGGATATGAAAATCATAGAGCCACGCCGCTCTCTAGGTGGCAAGACTACGCTGGAGGATTTGCTGCGCAGCACACATGCCCAGGAGCCGGACGAGGTGGATGGCGGACAAGTGCTCACCGAGGATGAGCAGCTAGCCAAGGGATTGCAACGTTTCCGAGATGCCAATCAACGCAGTTTGTCAGAACGCTCACGTGCATCTTCACAAGCGGATCGCTCCAAGTCTCTGAGTCGTCCACAGACGCCTTCCTCAGCAGTAATCATAGAGCGACGCGTGCCCACACCCAGCATCGAAGGCGATGGCACGGTGCAGGCGTCTCTGATTGTGCGACCCATCAGCGCTGCAGATCTAGAGGATGAGGAGCTGCGCCGCGAGGAGGAGGAGCTGAGGCGTGAAGGACTGCTCTCCGATAGCTCGGTACAAAGCAAATCTGACGTGGAAACAGCCGGTGAGGAGGATGATCATGGCGAGGCAGTTCTTAGCGATTATGCAGCCAGCTCAGCCGATTTGGATGCAGCTGTGGAGCAGCTACAGCAGGCGCAGCTCGAGAGTGATTACGACAGCAAGCTGGAGGATGATGAAGTGGAGCGTACGCTACGAGAGAGTGAGTATGATGAAGAGGATGAGGAGAAGTACTCGGACCACTTCGACGAGGAAGAAGGTTCCCAACAGAAAGGGGAAACCACAGACCAGGAACTGGACGAAGCCCTCGAAAAGGAGCTGCAAGAGGAAATGGAAAAGATGCTGGCAGTGTACAGACAAGCTGAGATTGCAGAGTCAAGAGCAAAGGCACTCGCCGACGAGCAACCCACATCCGAAGAGGAGCATGTGCTCTCAGAAGAAGAGCGTATATTATCTGATACAGAACAGGTGCTATCCGAGGTCGAAGCAGCAGCATCGGAAGTTGAAACTGTATTATCCGAAGCAGAACAAACGCTATCCGAAGTGGAGCCTGAGGAACACTCTCAAGTCGAACAAATAACAGTGGAAGAAGCACCCGTTAGGAAAACCATTGCACATGAGCCCACTGAAGCAGAAGTCGATGCCAAATTCGTAGCCACCTTACCCACCGAACCTGCTACCGACTACAGGCAAGAGCTGCCAGTGGAGGAAGCGGAGCCAGTGGCAATGCCCTTGCCGCCACCACGTCGTAAATCCACGACACTAGTTGAGCCGACGGCTACTTCAATATTGACTATTGCCGAGCAGGTGGTGCGCGAGTTGACGCCCATTCAGGCGTTGCAGTCCTCGCCACCAATACAGCTGCCCAGCCATATGCAGGAGCTGGAGGTGGACCGCCTGCGTGTGCATGCGCTGCAAGCTGGACAGATTCAAGTGTCGCAGCTGCATGGCGGTCAGGTAAGCGCCGATGAGCTGGCTTGCAAATCGGGCCAGCTGGTGGTGCAGAACATAAATCTGCCACCAGGTTTCATTGATGACATTGTGGAGCGCGTCAAGGAGCAGCGTCCATTGTTGCTGACCAGCGAAACACAGACGAGCCGTCAGCCCAGCAGTGAACCCGCCGCTAGCGACGTGGAGCCACCCACCAAGCCGCCACGCCAAGGCAAGGTTAACGAGTCAACGACTGCAACCACCCAGAGCAATCTTGATGAGCAGACTCAAACTGAAGCTGCCATGCTTCCATTGTCACCACCACCAGCTGTGTATCCCAGCGTCGAGTATTTGCAATCACTGGCTCCATTGGCCTTCTACAATTTGCAACGCAGTGCTGAAGCGGAGCAGGCAGAGGCAGCTGCTGCTTCTGGCAGCTCGGAGCGCAAGGCGCCGCACAAATGTCGACGTCGCCATGTTCCGGAACAGCAGCAAGAACGCGACTCCGATTCTGAGCTGGAGGAACAGCTAGTTGAGAGGCCTCGGTCTCGTTCGCGTTCGCGTCGCTCGCGCACGCGCAGCGCCACACAGACACTGGAGGACTTCGAAGATGACCAGCCCAAGACAGTGGTGCAGGCGGGCCGACAGTTCCTTTCTGTTTGCAGCTTAGAGCTGATTAACATAATCAATCATCTGACCCACTTTGTGCGTGGAGATGTTGAGCCAGTGCAACAGCCCAGAAATATATCTTCGCTGATGGTGCTCTTCATATTGATCACCTTTGCTGTGATCGTGTTTCTGCTGACGGGTCGCCAGGTGCACACACATCACTGGGATTACTTCAATCCGCCGGGCAACGAGGGCAGGCAAACGTGAAACCTAAAGAGCTCCCCAAATTTTGGACATTTTGTGGCTTGGACTTTGTATGCCAAATGATACTTGGGCAATTTTTGCATTTTGGAGCATGAAACGAATTTAGAAAGCGTCGGGCAAAACCCGAACGCTCGAAACCAAAGGCCTTAACATTAATGATATATACTACATACTAACACAAAATACTTTAGGAAGGATGCAAAGTGAGAGGCGTTGCCTGTGCTACTCTAGTCGCAGCTTAACAACTAATCAATCGAACAACAACAACAACAATCAGTCAATCAATCCCAATTCAACAAAAAACATACTGACTTATATAGAACATATAACTCATACTAACCGAAATACAAGAACAATATCAACTTTTTTACAATACTCCCAAAACAACAATAATAACAAGCGATCATGTATTAAATATGTACTTAAACTAAGTAAAAAATCATTTATTAGCTACCTGATATAATGGTGAGCTGTCCAGAATGGGGCTCAAGTTTGTTGGCGAACAGACAAAGTCTACTTATTTATGTTAATATTTAAATATTGTTCACTCATTTTTCTATTTTTTTGAATTGTTCAATACTTAAAGAATCGATTGTTGTTTTTTTAAATATATAAATTTTATTTAGACCCGAGTTAGGTATAATACATATATAAATGATGAATTGTTTTACTTCTCATGAATTCATATACGCACGTTTTTCTTTTATTTACAAAGAAGCGATTTATTTGAACCGCGAGAGGGTGAACATATGTAAGTTCTTTATATATAAACTTATAGAGAAACGTATTTTCAATAAAGCAAGAAACTATATAAACTAGATGAACTCATTCACTTACCAAAATTGTTAAATGAAATGAAAGAAATTATAAGAAAACGTAATTATGCAAAAGATTAGGTTACTTTAAGAAATCATCATCATATTGAACCATTTGTCGCAAGTCCTTGTGACTTCCCTTTTGCGATTTGCTGGCCGCTGCAAGCGATAGAGAACAATATATATCGATATTTATATTACATCATTATTTAACTGCTTACCTATAGAAGACCAAACAGCTGAAGATGAAGCATCATTAATAGGCTCGATCTGTGGCTGGCGGCGAGCCAGTTGCACCTGTAGCATAATTCCATTCACGTTCTTGCCGTGCATTTCGGCTATGGCGCGATCCGCTGATTCGGGCTTAGCGAACGAAACGAAGCCGCGACTATAAAGCACATATACAAATATTTTATACATAAATTTAGCATTATTAAAAATTTAGCACGCACCTCTTCTCAATCTCCATAGATACATTGACGATGGTGCCATAATCGTTGAACGTTTTCTTAAGGAATTCTTCTGTCACCTTGTTGCCCGATACGAATATCGTATTGCCAGCTCGTGGCTTCTCCGGCTGAGTTGCATCTAGCGTCACCTTCTCTGTCAAGCCACGTTCCTCGCGATCACGTTCCGTAGCAAAGTGTTGGTACAAATTCTGACGGCGTGGCTCCTCTTTTATAATTTCACTTATTATGGTCTCCTGTGCCACATCGTTCTGTGTTGATGAAAACGGTTGGTAAGCAGCCACACTTGTCTCTGAGGTGGAACGTTTGGCACGCTCCTGGCCCTTCGGGCGCTTGAATGAGGTTTGGTCCTGCTTTGTTTGCTGTTTTTGTATGGCGGGAATAGCTCCGCTTTTGATTAGCTTACGTGCCACTTCCCGCGCATCACGTGCATCTGTTGGCCGTTTCAATGTAAGAGCGCTCTCTGGCTCCTGCTTCGGTGCTTTGTGGGCTTGTAAAGCTTTTTTCTGCAACAAAAATAGATACTTATGAAGAATTTCCTTAAAGACGCTGCTTGCCCAGAGGGTTCACCTTTTTCTTCAGTTTTTGGTATTTTGCTTGAAGCATCTGCTCTTCCTCCGTTAGATTATTAGGAAAGTGTATGTACACCATTTTGGGGAGTTCTTGATCTATGTGATTTATTTTTAAATGTTTTAAGTTCTCCAACAACAATATATTAATAGCACTTAAAAATAATAAACACTTTTATTGGAGGTGCCAGATCATTTCTGTTAAAATATTGATGCTGCCAGATCGTTAAATACATGTAATCAAAGAAACATGTATTGCGATAAAAAAAAATAAATATTTATTAATGAAAGGAAGTAGTAGCAATCTGTCTCTATTTTTCTTATTTTTAACAAATTCTGCAAGTTTTATAAATGCCGTAATTACCTAATATATCAACTACATACTCGTTTTGGCATTGTTAAAATAATTTAAAATAATGTTAACCATACCAGGTCTGCAAATAGCAGTGCTGTAAAGCACTTTTCAATTGCAACTCTGCATTAGTGCACACATTTCGCCATGTTGACGCCGAGCTGTCAAATTTTCTTCGTTCCTTCTCTTTCTTTCCGGTTAGCGTCATGGTAAGATCCAACGAAGTATTTTTCTCATTTGGATTGAAAATGTGAAAATAAAAAGGTTTAAAGTGCGCTCAGTGAATTAAACAATTTTTGCGGAAACCGCGTTGAGTTGCTAATAACGGAAAAAATTAAACAATTGATTCTGTGATTGCCCTAAATGTTATGAAAATATTTCACGTGGTGACCACAATGGTTCAGTTTGCAGCCAACGCGCTCTCCGCACTTATACCCTGCAAAGTTAACAACCGAATTTGTATTTATATAAGTTTTTTATGTTGTGTGCTTGCAGCCTTTCGAGAGATTCGTACAAACTGGTCGCATCGCCAAGGCCTCTGCAGGTCCCCTGAAGGGTCGCCTGGTGGCCATTGTCGACGTCATTGATCAAAACAGAGTAAGTGTTCCCACCTATGAGGAAGACTAGCAGCAGCAATAAACATGTGTACGCTTGAAACAGCAGTCAGTCGCACATGATGATAATTTGTCTTCTTGATAGGAAGTGCCAACTGACACATAAATGAAGCTAATTTACTTTACTGAAAGCGAAAACTACCTGCTATCGTCCAAAAACGATACACATAGAATTGTTGCTGCTCAATAATTGTAATGCGATTGTACTAATTTATATATTTGATAGGTTTTGGTTGATGGACCTCTGACTGGTGTTCCACGTCAGGAATACAGATTGAACAATCTGCATCTGACCAAATACCGCATCAAGTTCCCATACACCGCGCCCACAAGCATTGTGCGCAAAGCTTGGGTGGACAGCGACCTGAAGGCACAGTGGAAGGTCAGCGCCTGGTCCGTCAAGGCACAAAACATCTGCAAGGTGAGCGCAAGACTGAACTAAATATTAATTTCTGTGTGCTGCACATGATGATAATTGAAAGTTCTTGATAGGAATTGCCGGCTGATACATACATGAAGCTAGCTTTTATTTAAACTGAAACCAGCTTAGAATTTATGAACTTTTTAAGTTGTTTATGAGTTTGATTACTAAACCATAAATTTATTCTATTGTAGCGCTCGCAATTGAACGACTTTGACCGCTTCAAGCTGCGCTATGCCAAGCGTCAGCGCAACAAGTTGCTGACCATTGCCTTCAACACATTGAAGAAGCGCACCAAGTCCGATGGTACACCCCGTATCCTGAAGAAGGATCGTCGTGAGCGTCTGCGCGCAGAAAAGGCCAAGCCCAAGGCCAAGAAGTAAAATGGAAAACATAAATTTAACGAAAGTAACTGCTTGATGAACATCCAACACAAAGGAGCAAATAAAAGAAGTGTTATTTTTAGGAAAAACACGAAGACCTCTTGTTTAATCTATTTCTATATAGAAAACGCAGCACACCTAGATCGTGTATAACAGTTTTATTGGCTTTTGAAAAGCGCTAAAAAATAATTTTTTGAGCAATTAACACAATTTTACTATGGAGTCTTATTGCAATAGATGGTTTTCCAATTGTTGGGATGATTATAACCCAGCAGGACAGGCAGATGTAGAAAGAGAGTGATATGCTCGCCTTGTATTGACGTGGATACCTTCACCCATTTACGTAGCCATTCGATCATTTGTTCGGCGTTCAAGTTATCCGGATTTAATCCACGTAGATAGCAGCAGTATCGCAATGAAGCCAAGTTTAGATTATGGACACCGCCCTCGCGGGTAATAGCCAAGTCCATATAGTGCACCAAGAAAGCATGCTCGTGCAAGCGATGGCGTTTGAACAGGCTATTGGGTAGCCCATGCATCTTGACTAGACATTTCTGTAATCAATACAATTTTCAGTTTAAACAAAAAAATATTGAGTAGGAAGCATTTGCGTTTACAATGTGTTTACGCGACATGCCCAACAGTGAGTAGGGTCCCTCGGCGAAAATATCTTTGACTGAGATGAGAGCCTCTGGGGTAGGATGTGTGCCGCTGCCCAGTTGACCTAGAATGGACTCGAACTCTGCGTACTTATGATGACCCTCAACATTTTTTAGCTTGGCCTGAAGGCAGCGGAGTACGGACTTGTTGCACTGGAGCCGGCATTTCGTATAGTAGCTCTGGAACTCGGCACGCTGAGTTGCCGTCCAAAAGTGATTTGTTAGAAAAATGCGTGGGTACCAAAAGCTGTACAGGATTATACAAAATTAGTTGTTGACATATATCATATCAATATCTCTATCAATTAACTTACACAAGCGGAAAGAAAGCATAGCCAACCATTGGCAAGGAGCACCCAATTAAGGCAGGCGCTACTTTCATCATATCACGCGGCATTTGCATGTACAACTCGAGTTCTTGTCGATTCAGTGCCCGTATCCCCTGTGGCGCATCGTTGGCAATACGCGAAATCTTTAAAAACCTCTTCATGTCAGCGAAGAAGTCCTTAACTCCCTCAAAGAACGCTCGATAGAGCTGCATAGCCTTTGGAAAGTTCTTCTCGAGCACCTTGTCGTAGTTCTTCACATAGTTGAAGTAACGCGTGAATATGTATTCCTGCATATTGTCACGCATCTGTTCGCTCTTTGATTTGTGTGGCTCCTGATCCTTATCTTTATTTGCATTTGGTGGCTCGTTGCTTGGAGACGACGCAGTTCTTATTATTATTTCGCCAGAAGTGCCATTTTTTGTTTGCGGACTTCGGCTCTTGGAGTTTTTGGCATCCCAACCAGCCTCATAGATTACCTTTCCAACACTTGTTATTTCGGAGGCAACATTTCGCTTTATTTGCGGCGGAGTCTTCGATGCCGTCGACGTTGATTCCTGCTCTTGTGTACTATAATTCACCGTCTGTCTGATAACGTCGTTATTAATGAGTTTTTAACGCCGATCGTTAATTGGGCTAATCATGTAATTACACTCACCTGCCCTGCAGTCGAGATCTGCAACATGATCGTAGCAATCGGCGGCGCTCCTGTGACCACCTGCCAAAATTGCCATTGTTGTGGGCAATGTATGACACTCGCAACGCCAACGCCATTGTTATGTTACAGTACCAACCTAACAGACACACAAGCGCGCGTAATTACGCAACGAGTGCAACTCCAATGCAGGAGCCAGCCTAAAACGTTTCACTTAATTGTATTAATCTTTAACTTTTAATCTTTTTTTAGGCGAGTGGCCACAGCCAACTTCACGCTGTATGATATTTTTAGCAACATGTTGCCTCACGTTAAATGTTGCGATTCATATTTGCTTAAAATCTCGATAGGTCGTGTTAAACAGAGTTGAGAGCGTTGCCACGCTAATTCATTTATTGCAGCATAGTTTTAGACAGTAGTAATAAAAACAAATATATATTTAAATGAGAAGAGATTATTAAGTTTAGGGAAACTTTTAGCCAAGGCGCCAAATTTAAATTTAGCAAGTATGTCGTCACAAATTGTGCTAAGAGACCACTAATGCATGTACCTGCGCATGATACTACCTCAAACATTTGTTTCTAGCATGTTTCCTAGCTACTTTTTTCTTCAGTTTATCCGCAGAATTTCGTGGCAACAGTCGCTTACCCGCATTTTATGCTGCCACGCAGCTTTTCGTGTTAGTTGCTTTCTAAACGAATTCGCTCCAAAAAATGGTTTTAATTAAAACCAGTAAACAGTAAAGAATTTAAGCAGTGTTGAATAAAGTTAGCGCTGTCGCCTTGTTGCTGAAGAGAACAGAAACGGAAATAGTGTCTCAGATGTTGATAGGTATCAAAAGAGATTTGACGCGCGAGTCCTACGCACATGTGCTTGTGCGTGTGCGTGTGTTTGTATGTGCGTGTGTGTGTGTGAAGACCTTCAGCAAGAAATATGTAAGAAACTTACTTTCACTTGTGCAGGCGCCGAGCGCAGAGCAGGCACATCAAATAGCGGTAGCATCCTGTATAAACATGCTTGAATGCGTAGGCGTTTGAACTTTTTCTAATATCGAATTCATTGCTGCGGCAAGTGTGGCTTCGTAGTCTAAGTCATACACTCTATAGTTAGTCAGCTCTAGCTTGGCTTCTGTTACATTATTTACACTAGTTAAGTATACGAAGTGTGTGCCCGAAACTTGAACCATTTGTTTGTTTGCCCTGCAATTGAAGCCAACTCAAAGGTAAACTTGAAACAGCCCTTACTCAAATAGAAACAACAAGGCTATAAATAACACAAACGAAGTGGCGCGTGGAGCGTGGAGCGTGGCGCGTGGCATGGACCTGCACAAATTCAATTTTGCAAATTGTATTGCTTGTAAATGCGTGACCGTTAGACTGAGCAGTAGAAGATCTAACCGTATGAACTTTACAATAAACTATATTACGTAAAGTATGTCTTGTAAGCAGCTGTAAAACAAGTATTTCATTAACTTTTACACACACACCAATGAGGCGACAAGCTCCTGCATGCAAAGTATGCAAAAGTCTCCTTCAGCGCGGCAAAGTCGCAAAAACTATTCGACAAAGGATATAAGCGATGCTATGCAGACACTTTGTCAATGTCGTGCGGCTGCAAATTACAAACACCTAGCCGCACAGGTATGCGCGCGCGTATGCATACTTGCATTCCTCGTTAAGGTGCTCATGTCTAAGGCCGCAGGTCTTGTTTTAATTAATGTGAATATATCCTTGCATTTACAGCTTACGCATGTAAAATACTTTTAAAGGCCAAAGGCTGCAGCTCTGAAAATTAATTACAAAATGTGTACAGAGACGTACATAATTATTATCCGGTTGAGAGAGCTTGATTAATGCAATGGCTGGGTAGTCGGAACCATTAACGACTCAACAAAATATTAATTATGTATTTATATATACTTGACAAGGATGAATAATTTACGTTATTCAACAAAAATATTTAAAATGAAATATTATTTTTTTATTTTTCTATATTTTTAATATTTACACAATAAATAAATAAAAAATGAAATAATTACAGATATTAAAAAATAAGTAAAAGAATTCAAATACAAATATAAAAATATTAATTCACTTTACTTACTTTATTTTTCCATCTTCATAAATATTTATATATATCCTTTTCTGATATACCAGAACAAAATCAAATATCAAACATCAAATTGCGGCAATCAATAAATTGCATTCCCTTCATTACATTTAACAGAGGTGCCAAAAAAATAGGTAAAGTGTTGGCAAGTTGGCACAGAGCCAATTGGCCAATATACGAAATGTAAACAAACAACAAAAACTGGACAGCAACGGAAGAAGATGAAGAGAGTGAACAGGAAACTGTAGCAATTAGAAGAAGGAATCCCAATCGAATCGAAATCGTAGTCCAGCCAAGTCTATTAAGATGGCCATCAATATTTGGGGCTTGAATCACTTTGCCATTAGCGCGATTGTGATAACCACAATGCAATTGGTCTTTTTCCTATTGAATGCTTTGCTACACTTGGATAAGCTGTCAGACTTTGCTGGCGGCGTTAATTTCATTGTTATAGCATTGCTGACCTTTTTCATAGGGCAACTGGATCGTCCCTCCAAGGTAAGTGCAAAACTGGTTGTTAAGCTGGGCTACAAATTAAATGGTTTAAAGCCTTTTTTGTGTTTGGGATTTGTCGGTATTTTGTTGCTGACATTGAAAAGCGACATGCACACACAGCATTATACGGGCATGGGCGAGTGTGTGCTGGGAGCATCTGTAGTTGCAGTTGCGGTAACAATAGGTAAACGCCCAGCTGGCCCACAGTTAGGATGTTGTTGTTAGTTTGACCTTGTCTGGTGCAGGCAACTGCGGCCATGGTCCTTCAGCCAAGTTGTTTGTCGTCCTGTCTGCTGGATTGTTTGCAATTGTGCATTTTAAAGCTGTTAAACAAGTTCAAGTGTAAAGCAAATGCAGCGCCTCAAACAGGCTCACTAACATCTGTTTAAGTAAGCTTCCTTCATCATCTTGCTGTGACTCTGTTCACACTTGAAACGAAATTGAGTTCGCTTCGAGAAATCCTCTGCAGTTTCTATAAGCACTCTGATTTATTGTATATGCCAACTGCCAATCGTGCCATAATAAATAAATAAATTGCGTTGATACCTCTGGGACCGAAGCTCATTTATCACAGCATAAAAGCTGTGCCCGGCCAGCGCCTAGGTCAACGCAGCGGCATTTCGCAATGGATGACCATTGCAGTGGTGGCTTGGTCGAAAATAAAAATATAAATAAAAAGCATTCAAGGCATAAGCGAATCCACAAAAGTAAAAAAATAGTCGGAATTGCATTCGGTTAACCGGGAATTGCAATGCAATTTTTTTAGTGGGCGTAAGAGAAAAACTTTAGAATTCCAATTCAATTTCGCACGAAACAGTTGGGCATAAATTCATGAGGGAGTTCTGTGCATGAGCACTGAAAGTGCAGACCAAGGCTAGCTTCACTCAAAGTTTTTCTTTGCATTTTAAATATGCTTCGCCTTTCCATGTAACTTTTCTGGTAGCATACAAAATGTTGACTTAAGAAAACAGAGTTAATTGAGGTCTGTGTATACATCTCTGCATAAAAGCAATTGGACCTGTACTCAACTATATGTAACTATTACATTTTATATATTTAACCGTTTACTCTTTCCCATGCTAGGCCTACGAGAGTCGTCAGCTAATGGTAACTGTCTTCGTCTGCCTATGGGGCGCTAGACTCTCAGGTTACTTGCTGTATCGCATCATAAAACTGGGTCGAGACAAACAGTTTGAGGATACGCGACGCAATGTCATACGCTATGCTGTTTTTTGGACTTTTCAGGTGAGTTGCCAAGCAAATGAAATGAATATCAAAACAGCTACTAATACGACTGACAGTCATGGACCACTGCAGCTGTTGGTAATCAATGAATCTGCCAGCGCATGCCAATGTCCCAGGTTGTTTTTTTTGAATATTTCAATGCCTTGTCGATGGCGCTGGACTTGGTATGCAAATGCCACTCGGTCTCTCGCTAAATGTTTGTCTGGGCTGCCCATCGACTAGCGTGTGTGAGTGGGTGTAGCTGTAGCTGTGGCTGTGACTGTCCTTCCACATTTGTGGCGTGTCGCAGCGATTTGATTGCCAGCACTTGTTGGCTCTGCTCAGCAGTGCTGTCAATTTAGCCGTTTTCCGCACATAAATGTGCCATTATGAACTGATAAAGGAGCATATTGGCTGTCTGCCTCTACGGAAACAAAATATTGGACGCCACTGCTATTAACTCTTCACTCAAATGCAATCATTTTTGTACTCTTGCAGGCCATTTGGGTGTTTGTTGTTTCGCTGCCAGTCATAATAATCAACTCGCGTCACACCCAGCCGCAGGCTATTAAAGGCATGACCACGTTGGACTCCACTGGCACGGGCATGTTTATTGTCGGCCTGCTGGCTGAGACCTATGCGGACCTGCAGAAGTTCTCCTTTCGCCAGGATCCGGCAAACCACGGCAAGTTTTGTAATGATGGTAAGAGCAAGCAGCAAATCAGTCTGATATATATACTCTACATGGCTGTCATTGTAAACCTTTCTCATTTAGGTCTTTGGGGCCTGTCGAGGCATCCGAACTACTTTGGCGAGGTTATTGTTTGGTGGGGTATCTTTGTCATATCTCTAAACGCGATCAGTGGCCATGAGTGGGTGGCCATAGCATCGCCTATCTTTACCACGCTGATCATACTCTTCTTGTCCGGCATACCACTGCGTGAGCGCAGCGCAGACGAGAAGTACAAGAAGTATGCTAATGACTCCCATTTTAGTCATATTTTACTCAATAGATTTCCTTCTTATAGTCAGGTGGATTATCGCAAATACAAGGCAACCACCTCGCCGCTAATACCCGTGCCGCCGGCTATATATGAGGAGGTGCCCGGAGCACTGAAATTCATACTCTGCTGTGAGTTTCCCATCTATGACACGATGCGACTGCATAAGGATACGAGTCCCTATTCGATGTCTATAGCTCACTCCCACTCGCACATATAGCAGTCAGTGGCTCACTCCAGCAGCGCAGCCGCTGGTGTGGGCCAACAGGTGCACACGCACTCATCGAGTCAATCGCAACACCATCAGCAACATCACCACCGGGGTCACTGCTATGGCGCTGATGGTGGTTTAGCTGAGAGCCATCATAATTGTGGTGGCAGCTGCCGGAATGTGCACGTGAAGTCGAATCCGTATCAATGCGAGGCGGGCTATGGCAATTATGGTGGTCGTCAGCTGGACGCTGAGGATACGGATGATGGTATTATCTATGTGGCGAGTCACTCGGGCAACAAGGCCAAGACACACTATTTCCATGCACTCGACATGGATGAGCGTCCAAAGTGCAGCTACCTCGCCGAGGAGGAGTTGGCCTCTGACTATGACGAAGATATACCACCCATCGATCTGAGCAAAGTAAACAGCGTCGAGAGCTTTACCAATCGGGTGCAAATAGCCAGCGAGCAATCCTTGAATGCCGAGGGAATGCCCGTAACAGTGACAACAATATTGTGATTGTCATTGAAAACCTTTCGCTGTAGCTCAAATATGTGGCTAAATACACTCTCTAAGTGTGCTTGAATCGAATATGCTTACCAGAAAAAAAAAACAAAAAACAAAAACAAAAGCCCGTGCCAAACTTAATGCAGAATTGCTTAACAAAAAGATCGCTGCATTTCAGAAATCAGCAATTTCCAATGTTTTTTGCTCAAAATTCAAAATGTGCCTCTTCTAAATGTTTTCTCTTAGAAATGTTGCACGCCTTCAAAGTTTATTAGTCTCTTTTTGGATTGGTCAGATTTCTATTTAACTAAAACCTTTATCAAATAATAAAAAAAAGAAAAACGCCCCACCAACAAGTTGCAAGTCGAATCGATATAAACAGAAACATATCCCAAGCCAAACCTACGTTCCATATATATATATATATTTATATTTTTTCTCTTAAATATACAATAAAACTCTAAAGTACAAGAAGTTTGTTGATTAATAAAGACAGCTGATTCAAAAGCTTTATCATTTTATATTTATACAAAATAATAATTGCAGAATTTAAATAAATATATATATATGTATATATAAATGAAGTATACGCATATTTCTGTGTTGAAACTGTTATCAAATGAAGTTTTAATAAACATAATATAAAAGATTATTATTAAGTAACTTACAACATTGTACCTAATTAACACTTTAATGAGCTAAACTAATTAAAAAAAGCAAATGCTTATAAAAATAAAATTTTCAAAATGCTTAACTATTTGAAACTATTCTATTTGTATTTCCCGAATTGTAAATGGTTAAGGCCTGGCTGACACCATAAAGCTTATATACTATTGTTCTGCATTACTTAACTGCATTATATAACTATACTATATTTCACTTAATTATATTTCCTACTTCAATATAGTCAAATATACTTTGATTTCAGTAGGCATTGACGAGGGCTCGACCGAATCGTAGATGGCCATGGAAATTTGAACGCAACCAGCAGCACATGCCCCGGTCGAACACAATTTATAGTCAGTATCTATTATTGTATGGTTGAGTACATATCGGTAGACAAAAAAAAAAATTTGTAGTAAAACCAAAAAAATTTTAGTTTCCGTTTTTCACTCTGTGACAAAAATTAAATTTTCTTTTTCTATACTAGTAACAAGCGGACTACATTTTGGTTAAATTCTTATTAAAAAATTAGTCAGTGCTTTAACTTCCGCCTTCCGAGAAAAAAAAAACATGTTCGGACTAACGCGCCGCGTTATCTTTCGCGTCGGCAAGACGAAAGCCTTGTGTCGACAGTTTGCATCGCAGGCAATTAACCAGATGCTGATGCTCCAGCAGATGGACATTTGCGCAGATCAACCGTCGCGCGGTCTGGTCATCGGCGTCTATGCCGATGAAGAAGACAAAAACGATGCCGGCATCCTCACTGCAAGCGGCTGGCGGTACAATGTCCAGAAGACAAACGGTCGTTTGATTGAGGTGCTGCGGATGTCGGGGCCCATGCCAAAACGTGGAGAGGCCCGCCTTCTCTTCGCCATCGAACCGGATCGCATTCCCTATTATTCCGTAGTAGCTGTTGTCGGATTGGGCAAAGAGTGTCTAGGATACAACCCCTATGAGGTGCTCGATGAGCAAAAAGAAGCCATTCGACGCTCTGTGGCAAAGGCCTGCCAGATTTTAGCAGAATTAGACACAGACAGAATTGAAGTAGAGAACTGTGGCCATGCCGAATCTGCAGCTGAAGGAGCCGCATTGGGTATTTGGGCCTATCAAGAAATGAAAGACCCCAAAAAAAGAATTTCCGTGCCTTCGATCGATCTCTACGCCCTCAAGGATGAGCCTTGCGACATTGAAGGTTGGCGCATTGGACTGCAGAAAGCTGCTGCGCAGAATCTGACTCGGCAGCTTCAGGAAATGCCTTCCAATTTACTGACACCAACAGCATTCGCCCAAAATGTTGTCGAGGTTCTGTGTAAGTCGGGTGTCAATGTGGAAGTCAAGGTAGAGGGCTGGGCCGAGAGCCAGTCGATGCATGCCTTCCTGGCAGTTGGCAAAGCTTCTTGTGAACCACCCATCTTCCTCGAATTGAGCTACTACGGCACTTGTGCAGAGGAGCGTCCCATCGTATTGGTCGGACAAGGCATCACCTATGATGCCGGTGGTTTGTGCCTCAAAAAGCGACAAGAACTGTACCATATGCGTGGCGATATGACAGGAGCAGCTGTTGTAGTAGCTACCTGCCGTGCCGTAGCGGGTTTACGTTTGCCAGTCAACATTCGCGGTCTCATTCCACTTTGTGAAAACGTAGTTGGTTGCAATTCATTCCGTCCCGGCGACATGGTCAAATCGATGAATGGCAAGACTATCGAAGTTCAGTGTACCGACCATGAGGATGTCTTGGTTTTAGCTGACGCATTGCTCTACGGTCAGAACTTCTGCCCCAAGTGTATCATCGACATTGGCACTTGCTCGGGATACATGCGCCAAGCCTTGGATGAGGCCGCTTGTGGTGTATTTACAAATTCTGAAATCCTATGGCAACAAATTAAGCATGCCAGCATGCATACTGGTGATCGCGTTTGGCGTTTCCCTCTATGGAATTACTACAGCAAGGCCGTCCGTGCCGGACAGCGCAGCGATGTCCAGAACTACGGCATTGGCCGTGGTGGTCGTCCCTGCAAAGCCGCTGCTTTCCTTCGTGAATTTGTTCCCTGCGGACAATGGATGCATATCGTAAGCACACATAGATACACCAGCGTGTACTTCATTTAATTTCTCATTTTATTACTTTTTAGGATGCTACCAATGTGATGACTACAAACGGCATAGATTTCGAGTACTTGCGTCGCGGCATGGCTGGACGTCCTACCCGGACGCTGATTGAATTCATTGCCCAGACCATCTGCAAGGATACAGCTCCGAAGATTGGAAAATAAGATTTTCAATTTCTTCGGAAATTGGAATTTAGTCCACCTTTCGATCGTTGGTCAATCAAGAAGTGCATCACTCAAATTGATCGGAAGTGTTCTAATTAATATTGTTTTGTATTAAGTTTTCCGATATGTTCATAAATTCTAGTTAAATTTACTGTAATATCATGTGCACTTAATTTAATGTTTTAGACTTCTATTAAATTATCTGTAACTAGGATTTGATTACTTTTTATTTAGTGATTTTAGATGTCGGTAATTAATACATTACGATGCTTTATCTATTAAAGGGAAGCGTGTTTACCGTTAAAGAAAAGCTCAATCGATGGATGTTTAAGCCGTAGATAGGGTCTATAGACAATTTAGAAACTCGATATGATGCTTTGTTAAAGTGTAAATTGATCTTCGATAAGCAGCATTAATTGATTTTAATGGGAATGGCTTAGATCCATTGTTTCTACAGCGATTTACAATAAAAAATATAATTTTAATAGAAAAATCTCGCCTTTTGGTACGCCAATAATGAAAAAATCCTCGCGGAATCTTTAATTTAGTATAAGAATCCGAAATACAGATAAAACCATCACAGAATCTTTAATTCCTTAAAATCTTGTGCACTTCATTTAATGTTTTAGACTTCTATAAAATTAATTAATTAGAATCGTCTATAAAATTAATTAACTAGAATCCTATTGCTTTTTATTTATTGGATTTCCATTGGATATTCTATTAATACCATGGAGTTGCCTGCAACGATAACTTGATATATTAAATAAGAAATGTTTACCGTTGCCAAATAGTGGAAATAAGTTCAATTGATTGATGTTTGAACCTTAGATTGGGTCTTTAATAAACATTTATTATATGTTACTTTAAGCGCAGTTTGATCTAAGAACGTCTAGACCCATTGTTTCTAGAGCGATTTTCAATAGTATTTCTATTAGATAGTATTTCTATTAGAAAAATCACGTCTTTTGGTACGTTAGTATAGAAAAAATCCTCACGGAATCTTTAATTCCTTATAGAAATTGGGGATATAGATAAAACCATCACAGAATCTTTAATACCGTATAGGATTCAGTAATATAGCAAAAACCATCACAGAATCTTTAATTCCTTATATGACTTTAACCAAAATTGAATACGAATACGCTCTAAGCGTGACGTAAGATTGAAAGGCTTACGTGGCAGAGATGGGGTATATAAGAATAGTTTATGCTTGGCACAGAGCTTAGGGTATCTAGTAGTCGGACATATCTCGACTACTGCATTTTCATGTGCTTACATATTTGTGAAACAAAATTTCGATCTAGTAGCAGTTCAACTGAGTTTGTGTTATTTGATCGCGTTGTTAACTCATTTTACTCATTCCTATTTTCAATTCTTTGGCGACAGAACACGCAACAATTTCATCTATTCCGGAAAAATCTTTATATTTTGTGACTTCACAGTAGCAGTAGATTTTACAAAAAGTATTCAGAAGTTTTGTTTTTTTTTTCTGTAAAAATAAATCGAAATGTTTCGTGTAACGCAGCGGTTTGTCTCTCGAGTTATGCAGATTCGTCTGTCAAAACCAGTCATCAAGCGGAATTACTCGCAGATGATAAACCAGATGCTGCAAATTCAGCAGATGGAAATATGTGCGGACCCGCCCTCTAGAGGTCTTATTATCGGTGTGTATGCGGATGAGGAAGACAAGAATGATGCCGGCATCCTAACACAGGCCGGCTGGCGGTATAATGTGCAGAAGACACATGGACGATTGCTGGAGGTGCTACGCATGTCGGGGCCCATGCCAAAGCGCGGAGAAACGCGTGTGCTCTTCGCAATTGAACCAGAGCGTGTGCCTTACTACTCGGCGGTGGCTGTCATTGGCCTGGGGAAAGAGTGCTTGGGTTACAACCCCTATGAGGTGCTCGATGAGCAGAAGGAGGCTATCCGTCGTTCTGTGGCTGATGCTTGTCGGATCCTGGCTGAACTGGATACTGACAGAATTGAAGTCGAGAACTGTGGTCATGCCGAGTCTGCAGCCGAAGGAGCAGCACTGGGCATTTGGGTGTACCAGGAGCTGCGTGATCCAAAACGGCGTATGTCAATCCCTTCCATTGATCTGTACACCACCAAGGATGAGATTTGCGACATTGAAGGTTGGCGCATTGGACTGCAGAAAGCTGCTGCACAGAATCTAACTCGACAGCTTCAGGAAATGCCTTCCAATTTACTGACACCAACGGCATTCGCCCAAAATGTTGTCGAGGTTCTGTGTAAGTCGGGTGTTAATGTGGAAGTCAAGGTAGAGGGCTGGGCCGAGAGCCAGTCGATGCATGCCTTCCTGGCAGTTGGCAAAGCTTCTTGTGAACCACCCATCTTCCTCGAACTGAGCTACTACGGCACTTGTGCAGAGGAGCGTCCCATCGTACTTGTAGGACAGGGTGTGACCTTTGACGCAGGCGGCTTGTGCCTTAAGGAACGTCAGGAACTGTACCATATGCGTGGCGACATGACAGGAGCAGCTGTTGTAGTAGCCACCTGCCGTGCCGTAGCGGGTTTACGTTTGCCAGTCAACATTCGCGGTCTCATTCCACTTTGTGAAAATGTCATTGGTTGCAATTCATTCCGTCCCGGTGACATGGTCAAATCGATGAATGGCAAGACTATCGAAGTTCAATGTACCGACCATGAGGATGTCTTGGTCTTAGCTGACGCATTGCTCTATGGCCAGAACTTCTGTCCAAAGTGCATCATTGACATTGGCACTTGCTCGGGTTACATGCGCCAAGCCTTGGATGAGGCCGCTTGTGGTGTATTTACAAATTCTGAAATCTTATGGCAACAAATTAAGCATGCCAGCATGCATACTGGCGATCGCGTCTGGCGCTTACCCTTATGGAACTATTATAGTAAAACTGTACGCTCTGGTGGACGTAGTGATGTTCAGAATTATGGTATTGGTCGTGGTGGTCGCCCCTGCAAAGCCGCTGCCTTCCTCCGTGAATTTGTGCCTTGCGGACAATGGATGCATATCGTAAGTGAACTTAATATTCGTTAGCATGCATACATAGATTTATTCGATCTTTTATCCAACTAGGACGCAACAAATGTGATGGTAACGGACGGTATGGAATTCGAGTATTTGAGAAAAGGCATGGCTGGTCGCCCAACTCGCACATTAATAGAATTTATCGCACAGACTATTTGCAAAGATACTGCACCAAAGATGAGCAAGTAGGCACGCGTTACATTTTGAACCAAACACAATTGAAGTTTTCCAGTTTTTCAAGTGGAAGGTTTTTTACGACTAGACCTCGGGCTTAAGTTTTGAGTTTTAATTTGGGACACAGATATGTTTAAATTCAGTGGTTTAATTAGGTTTATAAAATTAAATGTTTTATCAAAAGCATGTGTATAAATACAGAATATTAGTATATAGGATGTGCGTCTTGATATATTTGTGAATTGCTTTACGTATTGCTCGTCGGAATATTGATCAATCTGGTCATAGCACAGAAAATGCAAGCTGTGGCATAAATTCGAATTCGAGTACGGCGACTGCTACGCCAGCGAAACGGCGTGCGTTAGAACAACATTAATATCAATGGGTGGATAGTTTTGCAGAAGCTTTACATTCGAGGCGAAGTCGTTCTCTAGGATGGCCTCTCTTTGAATTCTACGAATAGTGGAAAAGTGAAGATTATTAATTACATTTGAATTTGCTATTCTGACTTACAATATCATCGAGCAGCATATTTTAATGAGAAAATCGAAGCGATTCTCATCCGAGAATATAGAGTCCCATATACGTAACACATCAGGCAGTGGAAATTCTTGTGAGAGCAATAAATTGATCCATCGGAAGCTGTAGTACTGTGGATGCAACTCTTGGCTCTTGAGATGATCGTAGATGCTTACATCTTTTGCTTTTAACATATTCGATAGCCTAGACATCATGCACCTTATGCCACCTTCAGCATCATCCAGCGTTTTTATAAAAAAGTCTCGAATCTCACTCATCAACGCAGTAAAACAAAAGAAACAATCTGCCTCAGCATGTGCGCGATTCGAGAGATCAGGATCAGAGGCCATAACATATAATATAGGTCCAACTATCTCATTCATGCCTTGTACATAACCCTGTCCGGGATTCAGTTTGGCATAAATAAATAATATTCGTTGCACAACCTCCCAATGAGCTTCTTGACCTTCTTCCATAGCGGCGTAATTTTCCGCCGAGCGCTTTGTAATCAAGTTTATCTGGTTAAATAAAAATTCTGTTAGTCTTTTATCTTTTAATGTTCAATCAACTTACTTGCTGCTAAATTCCGCATGGAATGCATAATGGAATGCGTTTCTTGTGCTCTTAATCATATAATAAACAACAACGTCTTTATCCTATTCAGACTCACCTTGGTCACGCCCAGCCCTTTGCGTTCCACATTTGCCGAGCTTAAAACGGAGGGTACAACTCGTTCGTGTAACCTTCGGCCTTGCTCCCCTTTGCTGTGGACCACAATTTCGCATGGATACTCTGTAGGCTGCTGGAAAAACGATATGTCTGGGCATAATCGTCTCACATCTTTATCAATTTGTAGCAAAAATTCGTTATCGTTGAAAAACGTATTCCAAGCGCTTTCCGGTCCCTCGCTGAGCGGATGATCTTTTAGGCCAACGCCCCTTGATTCATCATCATCATCATCGCTGTCAGCTCCGCCATTACGCGTATGACCAGGTGGAAGCACAAGCTCCATAATGAACTGTTTATAGAGCGCACGTTTCTGCGTCAGCGTTGTCGACCAGTTGCTACGCCTGGGCCCTAGATACCCTAACAACATCTTCCAGCTCAGCGCTCGAAAACTGAGCACATCGGGGACACCTGTGGATATGTGTGTTAGTAATTGTAGTTCCAATATCTACCTACTTTGTAGTAACCATTAAACGTGTGCTGGCGCAGCTGTTTGATCTCAATGACATCTTGTGCAAAAATATCCTCGAATTCCTTTACGCTGTGTAAATTGAGCAAGACATTCATTTTATCAAGCCTCTTTAAATTAAGTATCACAGCTACAAACCGTGCTTTAAAAATTGCCATGCTGTTTGCAAGTCCTTATTCTCTCCATAAAGAGGTGAGTGACTTTTGTCAGTTTATCCAATTGCTTTGTTATTATTTGGAATAAATAATAGCAGGGATGTACAACTGCATGTGCAGTACGCTACTTAATGAATCAACAGTTTTCTCTGTGTGGCAACGCTGTTGAATGGTGGCATGAAGTTGGCTGCACGCAATTTTGAACTCACGTGAAGTTGCCTGCGCGCGAAATTTAAAATGTATAAACCTGCTGTTATTTTGAATAATTCTTTCATTAAATCAATTGCACTTGTTACTCTTCACCAGTTCAGCCGATTTGTATAATTAACATGTTGTTTTGCACTCATTATGCGAACGATAGTTTGTTCTGATTTTTTTGTTTGCTTGGGCCGTTTATATTACATATACGCGCTGGCGTGAGCAGACGTATGGCCGTATAATAGAAGAGCGAGAGCAATTCTAAATTGTTTATATGGTTTTTGTGGCACATTCCATTTGTTTACGCTAGTCGTTGGCCAGCAATGACGACCAACAGATCGTCATACGTTCGACCGGCTTTTTGGAAGGTGCCCAGTTACAACGGGTATGAGATAGTGTCTAAACCAACGACCACATTGCCAATTTCCACCTTGCGCCGTCGCAGCAGCAGCGGCCACAAGAAGCGTGTCCATTTCGCCGATGAGCTATATAATGGGGTAAGTGACGCCACCCGCCCCTAACACCCCTACTCTGTCTATGCTCTGCATTTGGCATATGGCATATGGCTTGTCAATCGTCGCTGCTTTGGCCCCAATACCCTCTCGGTCAGCGCATCAGAAATCAGTTCAATAGCATTTTGCACTTGGCGGCTCGTAAATAACTCGGCCAAATTTAATTAATTAGCCACTGATGCAGTTTTTCTTTAATAAAACAACATATAACTCTCGATATTCCCAAACTGCATGTCTATACATATATTTTAAAAATTTATGCATGAAGCGTAAAATTGACGCAAATGCTTTTAGTTGCGGTTGCCAAAATTCAAACAATTTTTGGAATTTAATGTTTATGCATTGACTGACAAGAATCGAACAATTTATGATGTTTGCTAATCACTGTTTTGAGTGGACAATTGCGAAATTGATTAGGCTTTTGTCTCTTGGTCTGCATATTCTATACAAATCAATCAAAGAATTTCAAGAAATTCAAGCTGTAAATAGTAAAAACATTTCAGAACTTGCAGCTAAAATGAAAGCAGACCAAATCAAATAAATAGGTTGCAAAAATAAATGCCAGTCCATATATACGCTATATGTATAATACGAAAAACGACGGGAAGCAAAAAAAAATTCCGTCTTTTCCGTTGTAAGAAGTAAAAACGGCGATGCCAAAAACAAAGGCAACGAAATTTTTGTTTGAATATCTTTTCAGCGTTATATCGCTGTATATATGTATATAAATGCCCTACCATTTCAACTTGGCCTGCTCAGAGTTATATATCGTAGATGGTTCTATTCTGGAAAGGGCCAAGATCTTCTGTGCATGTTGCGCATACGACGCGTTGAACGCTTCATTGACTAATGCCGCCAACATTTTGATTTGTTTATTTCGAATGAGCGACTGTTATTGTTGCTAGTGCCGCTATTTGAAGTAAATAAATTTAATTACAGCCTCTCATTTGCTTGGCTGCAAACTAGACGCTAAGAAACAAAATAATAAAAAATTTGAAAAAAAGCCAGCAAAACATATGCCCAATGTTCGTCATCATCTTTAAATGATAATCATGTTGTGTGCGCCTAGACGATGACATGTGGCATCGATTTTCAGGGTCAGTTTGCCTATGCAACCTGGATGAAAGAGTCGATTAGAGAACGTTGATTGCTTTAGCTGGAATACATGCTGCTCGAAACAAATATGAAATTTCTCAATAATATTTGAATTGCTGGCAATATCTGTGGGCGAACTGAAATGCTCTTGATTGTAGAGCATGATGAAAATTATTGGCATTTGGATTGAGTTCATGTTTCTCAGCTGCTGACTACATGATTGTAGCGCAATGTATTCGTAGTATACCACGATCATTCGTTGCCATCGCTGCAAAAAGGAATACAAATTGTATTTTAAAATTAGTACTTGAGCAGCATTGCGATCGAATAATACGCTAAGAAATCGCGCTGCACGCGCTACCTCCGCCTCGGGCTGAGCACTTTGAGCCAATACAAACAATAAAAAATTCGCGCATCAAGTGTGAAGAACGCGATTTGTCTCTAACTATGCTCAATTGAGCTGCTACTGTGGAAACGTAGTTTTTTTCAATTTCAATTAATATCGGAGTCTAACATGAGTCCCAAGCTTCATGAGTTTGCTGTGCAGCTCCAGCGCGATGGCCAGGCAACGCCCTGGGGCATACGTTTGGTTGGTGGCAACGATTTGGATACGCCGTTAATCATCACCAGGGTAATGTGAAGAGTGTGGAATAGACGTTATGTAACTAGAGCAGCAGCAGCTGAAGAACTGAAGAGCTGGCAATGATTCTCCTCTGGCTTCTCGTCTTCTCTGTTCGCTTCTCGCCTGTCGCTTTGTGGTTGAATGTCGCCTCAACGGCCCATTCATCACAATTGTTGCACACAGCGGCGCGGCAGAGAACTGTCCATTATCGTTGCCAAACTGTTTTGGCCTTTGGGTTCTGCACTACTTAGTGACAAAACAAACCACAACAACAAATCAAAACAGTAAAGGTACCGAGAGATGGCACTGAACGACTGTCAAATACTCTGCAGCAACACACAAAGAAATCTCTCTCCTAGATGCCAACTCGTAATTTCTCAGAACTCTTCGCCTGAGCAAATGTTAAAATAAATTCACAAAGAAGCTTATTCAGCTTGCTACTCTACCTAGTACGCCCTTTAACCCTTTTTGCAATTGTAGGGTATTAATAGGAAAACTGGCACGCACTCACACTTGAGCGCTAGGAGAATGTTGCAATGGCAACGCTGCCAACGATTTGCATATTGTGAGACGCCAGTAAAACTAATTGAGGCACAGCAAATAGAAGACGACGCATGTAAACAATGCAATGAATGGGAAGGGATGCGGGGAATAGAAAAGGCCCCTGTCATAAAAATGATGCATGTGCATCTATGTCAAGGGCGTCGTAGGTCTGTTCAAATGCCTTAACAAGCATCTCATGCGTTTAATCTTCGCCCACAGGTGCAAGTGGGTAGCCCATCGTATGGGGAGCTGCTGCGTGGCGATATTATAGCCAAGATTGGCGAGTATGATGCACGCGACTTGAGTCACGCCGATGCCCAGCAGCTGTTTCGCGGAGCTGGCAACGAGATACGTTTAGTGGTGCACAGGTGAGTTGATGACATTTCTCTGAATATTCAGACCTATTTAATTGATTGGCAACTATTGCAGGGACAACACTATTGCCTATACGCAGGGCGTCAATCAAGAAGCTGGTTCTGGTAGCAGTTCAAAGTTACCGGCAGCCAGTCCGGAATTATCGCAGCATCCGCATCGCGGTCCATCGCCCTTCCTACCCGGACCCAGTCACTTCGAGCGTGCGCTGCAGCTGCCCGTAGATACCTTGCCACAAACGGTATTTCCGCAGCTAAATGCCTCGGGTGGCTATGTGACACCCGCAAGTGTGTTTGCTCCAAAGGCAACACGTGATCATCAACAGGATGTCGCCGAGGAGCAAGCGCTCATTGTTAATCAGGTGAGTGGCGCAGCGCAGAGGGCAGGCTACAATTAACACTTCCGCTTCCACATATAAAGTTCTATATAAAATTGTTTGCTTTTACTAAATTGTTTATTTTTCAAAATATCAATACTATTTCCGCTTTACTCACTTGTTTACTTCTTAAAAATAGCGATGCCTTTACCTCTTTCATATTTGGGAAATGCTTGATTTATTTGTTGCACAGAAGTATGCTGTGAAAAATATCAATACTATTTCCTTTACAATTTACATGAATATCTGCCATATTCGGCAGCCATTTATATTATTTTGCGCTTAAAAGTATGCTATGAAAAAAGCTTGGCACTTGAAATATGACGCCTTGAAGTAGGCAATGGTTTTTGTTATGAAATAGATATGAATTTTGTAAAAATCCGCCTGCCATCTGCTGACATCAGAGGATAGACATTTTGTGGTCAAGGTTTGACTGTTTACACAGTCTAAATATAGCCAAAATAGATATATATACATTCAAGTATTAGCTGCGAAAATGTGTACGCTAAACAGGAAAGTCTTGTGACGCAGTCTGCAGGTGGAAAAATTGGCAACAAAATAAACAAAACAAAAAACGAACGAACGCCCTTTTTTATGAGAAAAATGAAAATAACAACGGCGCAAATAAGCCAAAACATTAATTCGAACATTTTCACTCAGCTGCAGGCAGGTGAGCAGCGTAATTATACTTAAATATATATCTGTGTATATATAGTACTTATGTATATGAATCAAAGATGTGCCAAGTATATCAGACTATGTGGGAATGTGCATTGCCTGCTGTCGGATGCTACCTTGTGATATTCTTCAGGCAATGCCAATGAAAGTGTTTCGCCCAGCCCACCTCACCGGCGAGTGTTGCCACCTGCCAAGGTTGCCATATTGTTTGTCAATGTAACATAAATTTAAATCAAGGTGCACGTCTTTTTTTTATGATTTCTCGTCAAAAATATTTTTGTAAAATAAATTCTGTAGTGAAATTAAAAATAGAAGGTTTTCAGATAAATATATTTTCTTAAAAAAACTTGTCATATATATATATAAATAGCTGCCAAGATCAGTTTGTTACTCTTCTTCTAAAAAACTTTTTGATCAACCCACTCAGACTGTTTTTTTGTAAAAATACCTAATGTTAAGCAAACAACCTTGGGCTTTGGAAGAAGAAAAAACAAACATAATTTCATGTAAATTATGAGCTCCTTGAAATTTGAAAGTTCTTTGACGCCGCCTCAAGCCTAATGAAGGTTAATTACACCTGCCCCATGAGCAGTCCAGTGCCAATAGATTCTCTGACATCAATTAGTTGCAGTAGAAAATGTCAATGATAAATCTATAAATATCGAAAGTCTATAGAACATTTCAAATAAACTGAAACACATCAATATTGTGCCATTTAGCAACATTTTTGTGGAATTATTTAAATTTTACGATGAAAACAATAACCTCGTTTCGAAAAAAGAAATTGCTCCAAAAATCGTCAATTAAATTATATAGATGATATATAATTTTGTTTTGTGAATAGGCAGGACAAACAAACTGACAGCACATATGTATGTATATACTATATATATACATAAATGTGTCGTTATAGGGAGATGTCGGGGAGGGGTTTTTTCTTTCGGCGCGTGGGCGATTTTGAAAAAGCTCATCCAAGTCCAAGTTTATATGTAAGTTGTTGTTGTATTTAGATATTACGCTCGGTGAATAATCTATTTGCACAGAAACATTTAGCGTAAGAATATGTATCTTTAACAAATTGAGAGAGAGTGTGTGAGTGAGTGAGTGAGTGAGAGGATGTGGCAATCTGTGTTGGTGGTGCGGTGGTATGCGTGGGTTTGAACGGCCTCTGACCGTCAGCACTCGCACTCTGGTTGTTTTATATGACCAAACACACATAAACACACACACACACACCGACACACAGACAGCTACAACTCATATATAGAGACTCTATATAGATGGATTGGAATTCCGCGCAGTCGAAATAGCAATAATTCGCCAGCATTTGAAAATTTTCAAATCAGTTGCGTTCGGAATATTGAAAAATAAACAACTAGATACAAGATCCATCCTAGGCCTAGTGAAGCGATCTCCGCAAAAGTGGTGAAGAAGAATAAGAAGTAGAAGAAGAGGAAGCAGCGTTAATTTAAACGTGCCACAAAAGCAAGTTTTACCAATTCAACAAAGAAAAAAAGAAAATAAAAAAAAATAAATAAATAAACAATAATTTCCATAGAAAACTTAATTGTGTTATTTAGCAATTGCTTTTTAACGTTACGTAAGAGTTTTTCAGTAATTTTTCACGTTTTTATTCTATTCTAAATTTTTGCTCATATAAAACAAAGGAGTTTAAGTTCAAATACCCAAAAACCACAAAAAACACACACAAATTAAAATGGAGTACGTTCAGTTCAAAAATGGATCACCCGTCTACTACAAGGAGCAGCCAGACCTCAATGAATGCATTCAATATCAAGTAAGCAATACGAATACTCGAATAGAAAAGTGAGAGATAGCAGAAATTTTTTTAATTATTGAAAAGTGTGTTAACCTTAACGAGCTGCAATTGAAAGATAACAAATATTTTTTTTAGAATTTTCAGAATTTGAAAAAATTTTCTAAAAAATTAAGAAAAGCCAAAACAAGTTTTATGATTGTCCAAAAAAAATAATTAAAAATAATGCTGAAAATAATTTTTGATCATTTTCAAAAACATTTCTAAGCTTTAATTGAAAGAGAAATTATATTACTTAATTATTACCAAAAATCTACATTTAAGTTCAGTGCTCGCAACATTTGCTCACATGAAAGACGTCACCTTTACTGTCAGAAAACAAAAATTGTATAATGGAATTCAAGTTCAAATACAAATGTCAACGAAAGCAACAGTTGGAAAACGTTTTTCAATTATTTCTAAAGTTTTCCAACAAATGTGCTCATACTAATATATATATATATATATATATATATATATATATATATATATATATATATATAAATATATATCTATACGATCTGCGCTCTCGCGCTCTTTGATCTGCTTCTTCTATGTATACACCCACCATTTAGCTTATTATTTAAGCATATTTGTGCGTTGAAAGCAACAAAAGCAAATTTAACATTTTTGCTGAAACATATTTTTCATAGCTCTTTCTCGAATGTAATTCAAACCAACTGGGTAGATATTTTTAGATGAACAAAAAAAAATGAATAGAAAAACGAGCGAGAATAATAAACAAAATTATTCGAAATGAAATTAATCTAAAAATGACTATATAGCAAACAGCATGGGCGATAATTAGTTTAATGCCCAAAACAAAAGAAAATTAGACTTGATTTTTGGCATTGGCTCAAATAATGTCAAATAAATGCGCAGCGAAAGTGAACAATTGTTGCTAAACATTGTTTGATAGCATAAAATAGATATATATACAAATATGCATGTAAATATATATTGCGAAACTAATTTATTTTTAAAATTTAACACTATTTTCTTAAAAGCTATTTGCAATCGATGTGTGAGCGTTTGTCAAAATTTTGTATGGATTTTATATAAAAAAGTTTTGACTTAAATTTGTACAAATCATAATTTCAATTAAAAATATTCGAAAGTGACCCTCAGATGTATATTTCGAAATATATTTCGTGCTTGCGCTAGCAACAAATTTTAAATTTAGCATGAAAAAAAAATCTAATTTATTTTTATATATGCCTCAAAAATTGTTCGATTCGTTCTTATGGCCAAGGTGAATGAATAAATTGTGAGAAATGCGCAATTAAACGAAAACGGAAGCGAAACGGGCTAAAAGCTAATTTCTGTAAAGGTAATCTATTATGATGAAGATCATGATCCGTCACTTGCCCAGGCAGGCGGTGTCGCTTAAGATGGAAGCAATCAACTGCTTGTCACTCAGTGCTGCATGCACCTCCTCCTCATCCCACTGCAGCACGACTTTGCTGAGACGTGGTTCCTTCTTGCGCATAATACGCAGAATGCCTCTTGTCTCCACCAGATCCACAGTGCCCGCAAACTCTGCCTGATCGAGTGCGAGTATATTCCGCTTGGCACACACTCTTCTATACACCTCATGCAGGCGTCCCATGCTGATGTCTTTGTTGCGCTCATTGCGCAGCATTAGCACGAGAGAGCAGAGCATTAGCTTTTGTTGCAGTGGAAACGCTGCTTCGATATCCTCCTCTAGATTCTGTGACGCCCCATAAACCTTGTTAAGCACCGCAGCCACTTGGCTAACCTGTACGGGCTTGAGGGTGTCTGTAAACAGAATATATGATTTTAGCTGTTGCATAGATTTCTCTTAGTATTATTTACCTTCAGCCTCTGTGCTGTGACCCTCCAGCTCCAGCGCCTTCATGTTGAACTCCTTGTCGCCTGCACGCTTCTGTTGCTCGGCAATTTCTACAACACGTCGACCAATGTCTAGGGCGCGTCTCACATCACCGCTAATAGCGCTCACCTTGGCCGCGAGCAGCTGTAGCGTAACAGGTGGAAAGACATCCAAGACTTGCGCTTCAGCTAGACGGGATTTAAATATTTCTACAATCTGTGGTTTGGTATAGGGTGGAAAGTGCATCAGTCTTGGTTTGAGTTCGCAGCGAGCATTCAATCGCATCAGCGCGCGATCTGTGAGATCCAAGCTGTTGGCAATGCCAACGAGCAAGATACGAGCGCCTGGCAAAGCGGGCCACTCGAAGATCGTATACAAAACCTCCTGCCGTGATGTGCACAGCTGATCGATCTCATCCAGCACCAACAGCAGCATACGTTTAGCTGTTCGCAGATGACGTTGGATAGCCGCCAGATGGTCTCGCTCTGTGCGCCCCGCTGGCTTCAGCTGCAGCTCAGTGCACAGCTTCTTATAGACAGCGCCCACGCTAGCAATACTCGTACAGTTGATGTAGACACGTTGCAATCGCTGGGAAAATTCTGGCGCTCTCAAAAGTAGCGAGAGACAGGCTGTCTTGCCTGTGCCTGGTTGTCCGGACACATACAGACTGCCCGACGTGTTCGACTCCAAGTGCGTGGTGAAGAATTCGCGCAACTCCTGCAGCTGTGGCTCCCTTCCAGGCAGATGCAGCGTCTCGGCGCTGTTTAGAACCCGACGTGCATTTTGATATTTGTTGCGTGGCGGTGAGGGCTTTGCCTTCTCTGTCCCTTTGGTCTCCGTTTCAGTCTTACGTGGTTCTTCCCCCTCCACCTCTTCTACCCGTTCATCTATGCTCAGTCTATCCAGCAGTCGCGATGGACTGATCAAGTGCTGTGGCAGCGGATGCATCTTGCGCTGCTTAGGCGGTGACACATGTGCTACGTCATCCTTCTCTTCCTCCTCGCTGCTGCTACTGTGGTTGCCATCAGTCAGTCTTTTAGCATGTATATTAGACTCAATGCGTTTTGATCTGCTGGTCAAAGCTGCAACCGAAGTTTTTGTCGTTGTTTTCTTGCTGCTGCGTGGCGTCTTTAGATGCTCTTCTTTGATTTTTGCCGCAGTGGCCGTTTTTCGTTTGCCCGCTTTGTCCATTTGATTTAACAGATTGCTGTTTTCGTTATTTTCTGAAATTACACTAATGATATCATCCTGATCCTCGTCGTCGCTGTCTTCGATTCGTTTAGTCTGCCTCAAGCGCCAAATTTCTGAGCGTCGTGGCGTTACGGGCAGCGACAACTGAGGCAGCGCTACCGTCGCAGCTGATGCGGCTGCAGACTTGCTTATGCTGCTCAAACGCGTGGAGCGGCGTACGGCAGCCATTTATTAAGCTTTGTTAAGTTAGGTGATAAAATTGTTCACTTATTATGCAATTAGTCTTAATTCAAATTTAAGCTTGGTTTAAGTTTTCAGTAACGTGGGACAAAGCAAAAGTAAGCAAAAGGCGCGAAACGCACCTCAGCTGCGCCCCACGATCAGCTGCCTATGCCGCAGTCTGGCAGCGCTGTAAAGCACTTAACAACACTTTACAGCACTGCACGAAGCGTTGCATTCGATAATTGGCGCACAAATTTGAATTTTGTCGCCATGAATATTAAATTACTTACGCGCTTGTGCGACTGCGTGTGACCGTTGATTTTCAAAAATAAAACAGCCAGCAGAAAAATGAAAATGTTGCTGGACGAAGGCGAAAAGGCTTACGTAAGCACCTATAAATATTAGTCTCGCCTCGCAACGCTAAGATATTTTTAAAATATATGTGTATAGACAGACGCGATCACACTCTCATACATAAAATGGAATTTTGGTAAATAAAGTTTATACAGAAATCTCACACACACATGCTAAATACACTGAAATTGTTTAGCTGTCTGTGAAATAAAGCAAAACGAAATTGTTTTCGATACATTTGGAAGCTGCCACAACGGACTTTGCACATAGTATTTTGTTATTTATTTAGATTGCACTAGTTTGTAAGCCATTGGCAAATGTTTGCACACTGTTTGGAATAAACAAAGCAATAAATTTAACCACAAATCCCCTATTCTTTTTTATGTACGTTCCTATAGCCATACCGAACAACTCCACTGGTGCTGCCCGGTGCCAAAGTGAAAAAGGATGCGCCCACAACAGACTCATATCTGAGACACTATCCAAATCCAGCTGTGCGCGCCCATCCCGGACACGACTACCATGACAGTATCATGAAGCAACGCGTTGCCGATACCATGTTGCACAAGGTTGTTGGTCAGGATGCCGACTCTGGCAGAGTAAGCAAAGAAAATCGAGCGTTTAGCTAAAAAAATTCGGATTTTTATTAATCATTTTCTTTTAGGTTTTCCACAAGCAATTCAACTCGCCAATTGGTCTTTACTCAAACAACAACATTGAGGACACCATCAGAACAACAGTTCCGTAAGTTTACCACCCACTTGGATACCTCTTTAAAGCTACTCAACTGACAATATCAAATGCTTACAAAAGACAAATACACTAACCAACAAATTTTTTGAAATTCTGTTAACAACCAACAAATTGAGATATTTTTTTGAAAACAAATTTGAATAAAATACTTTGATTTGCGTAGTTTTTTGTCAACAATTTGTATGCAGCTCTAAAGATGCGCCTAGTAAGCTTTCAACTAATATACATATATAGAGCTATTATTTTAATTAGTCGAAAGTCCGTGCCGATTGATTCCTAGTTAAGACCTAATCCATTAATTATACAAGCCAAAAAACCAAAAAAAATATAAACGAAATATAAATTTACTAAAACCACAATGAGACACACACACATAAAAGACCCATGCGACCAGGGAGTCTATAGATGTTGTATGTCTACTACTTGCTCAATGTTTCTATATATACACACATACATATATGCTCTATATATACACCACATACATATATCTATAAATATATTCTATGTATATTGTTGTAGCTTTGCCACAAGCGATAGCAATCGCTTGAAGGAAAGTCCTTTGCATCGTCCTTTGCCAACAAAACTTGACGGGTAAAAGTAAACATATTTTGAGCACAGCCTGATATATATAATCACCTATATATACCTATATATATACATTTTTTTAATGGATTGATTGATTGATTTGCATTACTTGAAGATCGTAAACAAAAAGAGGCCAAGCATTCGGTCTTCTAGAAACTTGATTCTTAGGCTTAATTGGAAACTTGAATGTTTGCTACGTACACAAATTTTACAAATGTTCCAAAATGTTTCCACATGTACACCGTATTGCTGTACTACTGTATCATATATATTCGCAAATTATACTGCCTGCCAATGAAAAATTAACCGATTCGTTGTACACCCAGACACAACAATCTGCAACACGTGTATAGTCCTAATCCCATATCACATATACATACATACGTACATATATGTCCTATATATACACACAACTAGATCCAAGGACATGAGTGCATGTGCTGTCTATATGTTACTCGTATGAGTCTGAGTGTTCGATTCCTCTTCCTAACGCAATTAAAAACTCAAATCTGGAGACAACAATTTCAACATGCTCCCAAAAAAAAACCGAAAACCTCTCGAAGTCAGAGTTTAAAGTTCCTCAACCCTTTTCCTTGTTGATCTTTGACCGAATATCTTTTAGAGTGGCATTTGAGGCGCAATTATGAAAGGTAAAAGGCAATTAGGAGAGATGCTGTAAATATGATAGACATAATTATTTTTAATAAGAATTGATCAAATGTTCTAATTGGATAAGTTGCCTAACAAAACCAATCTGTTTATATAAATAATTATATTTTATACCTACAAAACACAATACTCTAGTCAATATATATAACCAAACTTAGAACTTAGCTGCACGATTAATGTTAGAATTTTCATCGATCTATCTTTCCTGGAACAAAAACGTAAAATACTGGAGCAACAAAAGCAAAAAGATCAACTTGCTGAGCAACAACGTCAACAGCGGCAACAGCAACTGCAGCAGCTCTATCAACAAAAATAATTATGAACAATATAAATTGTTTTTTGATATTAATGACAAAATTAGCAACAATTTTTACTAGAGCAATGACATACCCCAAGCCCCAAGCCTCAAGTCCAAGAACCGTCCCCAACCCCAAACCGAACAAAACACAAAAAACCCCCAAACAAAAGTTCCTAAAAAAGACGTTTGCTGAATTTATCCAACTAAAAGTGTCAAAGACAACACACAACGAGTTCCTAAGTGCCCACTAAGTATTAACAGTAGTACCTGACTAACACGAATCCTACAATTAATATTTACTATATACTATCCTCTTCCTAATTTTTTTTTATTAATTTTCAACTTTTTGTTATGCAGTTCTGTTAAACAATTTACTTTTAATAATTAGTTGTAAGAGATTTGTTGAATTTTTCTTTAATTATTAATTAAAGTTATTTGAGAAAGTGTCGAGTTTTAAGACAACGCCTATTTGATTAGAAAATAACTAAAAAAGAATTAAAAATCACAAAAAAACAAAAATAATTCTAACGTATTTTGTGCACATCCTGTTTTCTCTTTCTATTCTCTCACTACTCTGTCTCACGCTACTCAACCGATGTACAAAAACAAAAACCTCTAAACAAATTCATACATATATATACACATGTATATATATATATGAACTTAACAAAAATAAATGACAACGTTAAAATATTCTAAAAATTGCATAACCTTAAATATTTTGACATATAATATTTACCACAAAATGGCGCTTTCAACGATCTCAATAAACAAACCAAACAAAAATCGATCAAAATGAAAACTCGATAAATCGATAAATCGAATCGCCGTAACAGTTATAAGAAAACTGTTGTTTACGATCCAAGGAATAGCGACACCTACAGAGCCATTCAAGAGGAGGGCGGCTACAGCAGCTATGGCCAATCCTCGCCACAGGAAGTAACCATACCTGTGCAGACAAAGGTCTATCAGCCGAATAGATTGGTTCCGGGAAAGGTAAGATCGCGCCAATCAAATCGAAATTGTGCTCAGCTCAAAGAACTTATATATCTGTGTATTAGACGAGATATATATGAATACTACTCGATTGTCCAGTTCATTGAATATCTGTCTATCTCTATTTTCTATTATCTCTTAATGTATCTCGCCGTCTCACGTACAGTCAAATCAAAATTTCGTTTTTAGTGCAGTCACAGCATTTTTTCTTTCTGTTGTCCTCTATGTGTGTCCTCTGTCCAACGCTATACTCGTATGCCTAGCAGAATGTTAAGCGGCGCTCGTGTGTTTAATGTACTGTTAGGCAATGCAATGTTAACTAACGGAAGCCAAATACTAACATTATTCTATTTTGATTTTGGATAACTTGTCATGGAATCTGCAAGTCTTAAGTCAGCATCATCATTAATCACATCTCTGTGTATATTCTTCCGAGTCACTATTAGCTTCTTATTTTTGGCATAACATAACGGACAAACTAACAGAAAGCACGACCATAACATTTAAAGATAAAATGCATTTAACTATTTATTTATCTATATTGAGTAAGCAAATGTTATATTCTTCTGTTGTTTTCTACATGCTTTACAAATGCCTTTACAGAAACCAGTATCAGCGCCAGTATCCCGGCCGCCGTACAATGTAAGTAACAGAATCGACAGTTAACAGCTTATGTTAAATGCTTAACATATGTTTTCTCCTTAACAGGTGGTAAACACACACGATGAAAACATACGCCAGAGTGGCTCGTTTAATCGTCTGATGTACAGCGTTATTGGTGCCACTGACTACTAGAGCAACAGCAATAGCAACAACAACAGCAGCAGCAACAGTCGACAACAACAACAACAACAGCAACAGGCGACAACAACATTAACAACAAACATACAAACAACAGTTGTTAGTTAAGCGTTACTTAACCAATTTAGCGGATTTTTATGAAATTCTGTTTAACTTATTTAAAAATAATTTATAAAAAAACCAAAGAAAAAAACAACGACAAAAGAAGAAACTAACAAAAGGAATATCCCTAATATATATTACGAATCGGTACAGAAATTCAAAGGAGCTGATCTAAATATTATTATAAATTTAAACAACAACAAAATTAACTCACTCTTAGCTGAGCTTAATTGTTCTCAAACATTTTTGTCAGCCTCCCAGATGCGCAATAGTCAATAAAAAAGAGAAAAGAAATTTAATTTTAGTTAAAGATTTTTATTAAATATATTATTTATGTTCATTTAAAGTTGACTTCGTTCGAAATCAACAGCGAGTGGTTCTAGTCTTTACAAATGTAAATGAAAACGAATAAAGGAAAACAAGTAAGAGTGCTCTGGTCGGGTGTGCCCGACTAGCAGATACCCTGAATTCCGTGCAGAGCTGCTGTTTTTAATCTGTCTAGATTTCTTCTATATATATTGGGTATAAATGGTAAACATAAGTCACTTAAGTATGTTATAGTATAGTATTATAGAGATATATACATATATATATATATATAAATTTGCAGCCTCTAGCTGAAGGCAATCGGATCAGTTCGATCTGGCTCTATCGCTTCGGCACATAATCTTATTCATGAATATATTCATAATATGAATTCAGTTACGCCTCCTTAAGCCTTATACATACATTCTACCCTCTCCATTTCCATATAGTATATGCATACAGATTTTACTTGGAAGTGAGAAAACCCATTTATAATTGCATTTAATTAGAGCTAAGTGACTTTCAATTCGTGAGTTGATTTCCCTGGTTTTCTGTGCCGTAATCAGATACTCCCAAAACTTTGCATAACATGACTCGGCAGATCTGCTGAGATATTTAAATAAATATATTTACCACATTTGAAACCCATCAATCACGCAGGCAATTAAACACATTTTTATTGAAATTATGTGTATGCAAACACACGGACATCACATAAATTTCGACTATAGCAATTGTCTGCTATACATAATGTACTTTCACTTCACGGCTTCAGTAGTCCATGGTTTGGACAAGCCACGTACAGCTCGCCCCCATTAAACGGTCAACGGCTGACGAAAATCGCACAAGCTCCATTAAAAAACAGACTTCGAATAGACTTCAACGACCTTGGCGAACAAAATCCTTCAAGTGTGCCATCAAACGAAACTGAATCGAAATCAAAATCAAAAACCCTAGAGCGTAACGCAGTTATTTCTCTGCAATGGATCGTAGCAAGAGTTGCTCTTAAGTAATCGCATCGGAGACGCTTACAAATAAACGTATTTTACTGGGTGGGTGGCCATTGGCTGGGTGGGGCAGGTGGTGGCATTATTGAGATTTAATGACTGCGTACACAGCTATGTACGTGCGATCGCATGGCAACAACTTTGTGGTGCTTGCATCTGGTGTAAAGGTCTTCAAATGCAAAAGATTTGGCAATCACATCAAAAGATCGCTGGCATAGTTGAAGCTATTCAACCGCAACGTGGTCGCAACAGATACAGATACAGATACACAGATACAGATACAGCTACACATACGCACGCAGCTTAACGTATTCGATATCGAGTTTGCTGTGACTTAACAATTTGGGTCAAACTCTATGAACAATAGTCTTTTGCACTTGTCGGATTAAATTCCATAAATTTTGACTGGGGCGGAGCCCTAAACGCATTGAACTCAAGCAATTGACCTGCGAAATAGCTTAAGAAGATAATCTAACGACAATTGCACTCAAAGAGGCTTGTAAATGTTAGCTAACAGCGAGGTACAGCTGCTAATTGCGAGTCATATTGTTAGTTAACAGCAAGTGCTAAATAACAGCTGTAATTAACCAGTTGCTAACTGTTAGCCACATGTTAGTTAACAGTCGACATACTCAAAGCCTTTTTAAGTGACCCTAAACTATTATCATAAACGAAGCCAATGTAAACAAGCTGCTAGATATAAATCTGCTAACAGTACATTAAATGTTAGTTAACAGCATGCTGTACACAACTACTGTACTCATGTTAGTAAGGCTGTTAGTTGTTTAGGAATCAAATGTAAGCTCAATCAAAAATGTTCTGTAAAACAACTTAATGTTAGCTAACAGCACAGCAAATGTTAGCTAACAGCAGGCTTTCATTAGCAGCTCTCGCTGATGTTAGCCTACATGGAGGATAGCACGTAATGTTTATGAATGCAAATGAAGCAAACGAAAACTAGAGCAACCATTTTCACTAAAGCAACAATGACACACAGGTCGAGGCGAGCTCTAAAAATCAGCTGAGCAGATGCGGGGGAGAGTGGCATAGGGGTACGTACAGAGAGACAATACAGTCCATGATATAATAGCAACGGAAGTGACAACTGTGCAAGCCAACAGCTGTAGTAAATCAAAAAGAGGCTACCAACAAAACACTGCAACAACGGCCGTTAGAGAGCCGGAGAGACAGCCAACTGCCGCTCTAGCTTTGGCTCCAGCTCCGGCTGTGGCTCTGGCTGTAACTGTGACTGTGGCTTTGGCTCAGCTAATAGAGATCGTGAGACGTATTTGATATAAAAGTGCAAGTGGAGTTTGCAGTGAACGCAGTTAGTTTTGTGACTTGGAGTGGGACGTGCGCGTTGTCTATCGATCGCTAACAAAGTGGAAGTGTAGTTCAACAGCAACATCAAATAAAACACTTGTATTATAATGCAGCTATTGCTCGTGGTGGCCACGGTCGCGATTTGTGGAGTCGTTCAAGCGCAACAGGGCGTCGATCCCGCCTATTTGCGTCAGTATTACCAACAGCTGCAGCAGCAACAGCAGCAGCAGCAGCCCTCCGATGGCACGCCCATTTACGAGCAGAACTCCGAGCAGACGCAGCAATATGTGAGTTCCGGGCAGCAGATCAGGCTGAAGGATACGGTCGCCGAGCAGATACGCGCACAGCAGCAACAGCAACAGCCGCAGGGATATGTTGCGCCCGCGGTTAGAGACTATTTGCAGCCACAGGTGGGCAGAGTCTAGAGGTAACTAAATGCTGCTGCAACTCAAGTGGCTCTCTTTCTTCTACTTCTCAGTACCAGTCACAGCCCCAGCAGAGCGTCTATCGCCAGTCACAGGCAGCGCCTGCTCCAGCGCCGCGTCGCCCCAGCTATCAGGCGGCGGTCGCGCCGCAGCTTGGCAAAGGACAACTCAAGCTGCAGTCGCACCAGCAACAGCTGCAGCAGCAGCAGGCGGAGGAGGAGTACGATGATGTAAGTTGACCATAACGGGTTCGAACTCCGCTTTCGCGCACTTTCGTTTTCGTTTTCGCAGCCAACTAAACAATGTTGCCAGCCAGCAGTGCATAATTACAATTGAGGCATGAGAGAGATTTACCCATAGAGTTCATTAACCATGCAGCACAATGCGGCTCGAACTGCAGCCACTTGGCCATAGCCATGACCAAAATGTATCTCCTGGCTAACTTGTATTTATGGCCCACTCATGCGGAAGCTGCGGATGCTCGTTAGCCAAATGTATCCAATATAAAAATTCACATTAATCCCCAGCCTTAAGCCAACTTGATTTGCATAAGTGAGTTATGGCTCAAAGTGGGGCGGCAAGTCAAAGAAATAGTTGAATGGCTTCTTTCAGGTGAAAGCTGTGAAATCGAAGAAGGGCAGCCATTTACAGAATATGTTGACAGATTTGCGAAATTATGACTTGACTTTTGATTAGCTTTTACTAAGTATATATGATCTATATAGCACTTAGATCAGAGGTAGTTATTCTAAAGCACAGATGTTGCCAACTCCTAAAACTCTTCACATTAAGGTAGCAAGGAATTTAAGTGGCATATGAAATACTAGAGCAGCTCAAAAAGCTTTTAAATCTGGTTTTATATCAATTTCATTAGCAGCGAAGTGCTGTCCAGGGATGCAGTGAGGTGTCATAGGAAAGATAAATGCAATCGAGTAACATGGCATATATAAATCAGCTATCTGAGATACCAAACTTCGCTCTACTTAACTGCATTGCTGTCCATGCAATCATCTGTAGTTCAGAAAGAGATATATTAATAAAAAGGATATAGTCTATATCATAACTTAAGTAGCTCCATAAGCTGTCAGCAAGCTTAGCAATCTCGTTCTACAAAAAAGCAGAGTTAGATTAGATTAGATCAACTGACAAGTGCTGCCCAATGCATTCATTTCTAGTTTGCCAAATCTCCAAAAATGGTGTCAGACACACACACACTCACACACACCTAGAGAGAGAGAGAGAGAAAAAAATGTCAAGCTGCACGTCATGAGGCACATGCGCCGCCGCAGCTACAATCACTTTCAAATGCGAACCATATAAATAGCCAAAAGACCTAAAAGCACCCGAAACACGATCAGTTCCGAATGGACAGTGCACGCATTAGAACCGGCTGCAAGAAACAAGCTTTTTGGCCAATTGCCTTTCCAATTTTGCAGCAATTGCAATAACTTTTGGGCTGGTTTTTTTTGCTTTTGGGCCACGTCAGGCTAAGAACAATTGCTGCTGGCGAACACGCCTCTTGGCCACGTTTTGTCTTTGGCTTACCTTAACCCAGTTAGAGCTTAGCCTTATTATTTGGTAGCTTCCTCGTAAACTATGAACGCCAAAGCAACCTTGTGCATAATTTATGTATCAGTAAATATGTAATTTCATTTATCTATGGGCCGGCCCCGTTGGGCATTACGTGCAAAAAGATTTCTGGGGATTTGAGTGGCCAGTTGCATAAGCCAACATGCGATCGCTGCATGCCCCAGCGATCGGTTGCAATCGTTCGTGTCATTAAAAATATGCAAGTCGACTTCAAATTACTTTCACTTGTGCGTGTTGAGCAACTCGATCTGGGCTTGAATATTCGAGTCTGGGATACACACACTCACACACACACAGACATGCCCACACCCACACGCATGCGCAGTGAGTGTGTTGTAATTGACATAAAACTGGGTCACATTGCGCTACGCATTTCAAATGCTCGACTTTATATGCAAATAAACATACATATAAAACTGCATTTAACTCTGTATATATGTTGCTCTCTTCACAGCAAAACTCCTCGTATCAGTTCGGCTTTGATGTGAAAGACGATGAGTTCACCAACTATCAGAATCGCAAGGAAGTTCGCGATGGTTCGGTGATCAAGGGCAGCTACTCGGTGGTCGATTCGGATGGCTTCATACGCACCGTCAAGTACACAGCCGATCCCAAGGAGGGCTTCAAGGCGGAGGTCATACGTGAGCCCACTGACATTGTCGTCAAGATACCAACACCGCCACCACCAACGCAGCTGCTGCGCGCCGGTGGCCACAAGGCACCACAGGAATATGGTCATTCCAAGCAGCAGTATCAACCACAGCAGCAGCAGCAGCAGCAGCAGTACCATCAGTACCAATAGGAAAGCTGTACTCGTGTCCTTCTGAAAGTTCCGCAAGTCCATGTAGTTTGTAAAGGCGTTCATAACATTATTCACTCAACACACATCCTAAACTACGTATATACGTACGACTTTCGACTTCGACTTTCGACTTTCGACTTCGACTTTAGTTTGTAGAGCATTTGTCCATGTTTGCGTATGGCTCAAGCAATTGAAATTCCTTGCTGTACTCAATATATTTTATTGATTTTCTGATTTAGAATATTTAATTAAACATTTTTATAAAAAAAATAAAATAAAATTTAAATTATTGCGTTTGATCTTGTGCAGGAAATGGCTTGAATTACTTTTCTTTATTGATAAAAGATCTACTAAATCCAAGTTTCAAATTTATTTTTCTGCGCTTTTACAGTACCCTATATTAATATTTATATAAATCTTAAGTTTATTAACTAATTTTCTGCCAGAGCAGTTCATAGTAGTGCGATTTACAATTCGATCTTTTAACCTCTAATGCCTTCTTCTTCTTTCTATTTCTATTTTTACTACTTTTTATTTATTTATCTTTCATAAACACTTCAAATTTATTTTTTGAGCTACTATACAGAACTTTTCCAAGCCAATCTCTGCTTCGTAGTAGTCTCCATTTGCTATCGGCCCACTCCCAAAGCCTCACACTGATCACTTGATATTGTTTAAGACTTTTGTGTAAACAGAATTTGATTGCGCATAAATCAATGTGCTAACCCTTAAGGCTATGGGCAAAGAGAAGATCCAAGTCTGGTGACCATGTGACAACCCGTTCGGCCAGTTGCTGGGTGCTGACAAAGGGCAGCGTAAATGTGGAAGTTCTCACAGCGATCGTGCGTGGTCACCGAAGATGCTCGCCAGACAAAGCTTGGGCCGGTCAAACCGGTTGGCCATGTTACTCTGGGAACTGTGGAACTCACGCCACATCAATCGAGCATTTGCTCTGGCAATAGTGTCCTTTCGCAATGTCCTTGCATAAATTAGAAAGAAAACAGTGTGAGAACCATGCGAGAGCCAAGGGTTATCACTGTAGATCAAGGCGCTGATGATGACCTTATCGGCCAGAATAACCCAACTGTAACCGGTTCTGGACAGTCGCTGACTGACAGACCCGCATGGCTAGATCATCAAATGGGTTAGCTACCGTACCTGTATGCACGACTCGAGAATTGATCTTAAGCTGATCCCTAGCTGCATATTATAAGTTGGTCAGCTGTGTCTATGTGTCCTATATGCCAGACCTACAACAAATAGTAACTGGACATTGCTGGCCCGAGGCATTTGTGTCACTTTAACGGCGCCTCAAGCGAATGTAAATGCAAATGAGCTGCAACCCTTGAGGTCACCGACTTACAAGACGCTAAAACCGCCAGCAGAAGCAGAATCAACCCTCTCTTGCCAGAGATCAGAGCTGAGCCCATTTGCATATGACCCGCATTCGTCGACTGATGGACTGTCTGAGTGTCTGATCTGTTCTGTTGTAACTAAGTAACTGCAGGACATTTCGGGTCATTGCTTAGAACCAGTTCCTCTTCGAAAGGATAGTTGCTGCTGTTGACCTTTTTCCATGGGCCAGTGCTGGCGACAACGACAGAAAGTCGTGTAACCGGACTGTCCACTATTTTTTTGCTCTCGCCTAGCTGTGTGGCCCGTGAGAAAATGCTGCGAAGGCTTCCCCGGCGCTGACCTATGATAAGAATATGTTGAGGCTGCTTTCTTATGCAAATCTTTTTGCAGGACCTTTCAAATTTCACGCCAAATCATTGCCCTTAAATAAATAATACGCCAAAATTATGAAAAGTCACGATTTACTGAGCAGTTGTCAAGACAGAGATAGAAAGTGAAAGAGAGAGAGAGAGAGAGAGAGAGAGAGTGAAAGAGAAAGAGGAAGTGGCATAGAGTTAAGGCATTTGATATACAGCTCAGAGCTTGCCCTGCGCCATGTCCCAGCGATGCTCGCCATGAGCACCACGACGATCCGTCCAAATCACCTGGAAATGTGTATTTTAAAAGCTGTCGCGGATGTCTATGAAAGTCTAGTCACCTCGCCCTTGTAACGATTTGTGCCGCGTTGTGTCTCGAAACGTCGCTCGCGCGCTTTGGGATGCTCCAGCACATGGCCATGACTGCGCGCGTTGGGTCCATCAAATCTCATGAAAATATCACTAAAGTCGAATAGTTGAAGAGAGATGAGAGTTATGAGAGATAGTTATATGGGAGGTATTATAGAGTGGGAGAGAGAGGAATTCCAGGAGATGGATTCTGAGATGGATTCTGAGATGGATTCACTTACTGAAAATATTTGGTTTCCTTTGTGGGTCGTTCACTATCTGCTTTAGACTCTGCAGCCACAGCATCCGCATCCTGCTTGGACACAAAGCGACGAGAACGCTGAGCGCCCAGTTGTTGCTGCTGCTGTTGCTGCTGCTGTAGATGTTGCTGCTGTTGCTGCTGCTGTTGCAGAGCTGTTGCAGCTCGAGAGGGCACCACATGCAACACATCGCTTGTGAACAGAACCGGCGGCACATTGTACAGCTGATCCTCTAGACGTTGCTGCAGCTGTGGCTGTGCCTGTGGCTGTCGATGAGGCGCTGGCGCTGGCGCTACTGCCACGCGCTGCTGCACGGGCATGTAGTTGCCCTCGTAGCGATATTTGGCCAGCTCAGCATGTGGTGCCGCAGAACGTTGCAAGTACTGCACGCTCGGCTGTGGATAGATTGCGGGCACTGCAGTTGCTGGCTGTGGTGCAGGTGGCTGCTGTTGCTGATACTCCAAGGCCAGGGACTGATAGCTGGGCCGATAGTTGAGCAATTGGAAGTTGGGCGGCTGTAGCTGGTAGTGTGTGGCCGGTGGCGTCACATAGCCGCCCACAAAGGGCGCGGCGACATACTCCAAGCGGCGCAGACGAGGCGGTGCATCGTAGTAGTGCAGCTGCCTGTGTGGAAAGTAGTGTTGCAGCTGAGCCGGCGGCAGCAGCAGCAGCAGTTGCAACAAAGCTAGCAGAGCAGTGGGCAAATTCGCGGTTAGCAGCTCCATCTCGTAGCACGTTCGTCAAATTTGTGGCTGGATTTTGACAACAACATTGGCATTTATAGCTGGGACAGGTGGCTTGGCTTCACTTGGGGCTTGGCTACGGTCAGGCCCAATGCCGGAAGTTGACTCGTTGCTGCTGCTGCTGCTGCTGCTGCTGCTGCCCAGGAGTCAGCGGTGTGTGAAATCGATTCAACGCTGCCCCAGTCCCTCAATATCTAAATTGTGCAATGCTCGAACGATCGACAAACGTTACGTCGCATTATATAAGGTGAGCCCAGAGAGACAGACAAAGAGCCAGAGTAGACCCAAAGCTCTGGCAAATAGAGCAGCTGTCCATTAGCCATTATCAAGGTCAAAGCAACTGCTGCCTAGGCAAGTTCAAAGCTTAACTATTTAGCATATGAAAAGTTTTTGGCACTTCCTTTATAACCGTTATAACAGCCATGTCCAGGCGAAGCCTTGCTGATTGGCTGTTGGCCCAGCCCTAAGGGTTGCTTGTGCTTTGGCTGACCTATGGCACAAAGGGCTGTGTGCAACCCCCTTGTCAGCAACCCTTAAAGCCTTCCTCGTTGTGCGTCCACGGACTGCAGCTCATTCGACTTCTGAAGTTGAAAGCCTAAGCAACAGTACATCAAGAACTCCTTAGAGTCTCCTTGAGCTCCGTCTAAAGCCAATACCAAAGCCTTTCTGAATTCACGCACTGGAAGAGCCGTAAGTGTTATAGATAGCCATAAGATAATTAACATTTAATTAAAATATATAAGGACACGAGGTCGTTTCAACATTTCAACATTAAAAACTCCAGATCTACTAAAGTTTGTAGAGAATAGAGGAGAGCGCGCTACACGATACGATTATAATACAAAGATTGTGGCCTCTATGAGACTGCTGCAACAAGTTTTCAGTGCTTTCGATCGGTTATATCATTATATATATATATATATATATAGTTTAGCGGAACTAATCGGCCATGTTGACATTGTTCATGCGCATCTTGGCAAAGTCCTCGAATACAATATTATCATCGTCATCCTGGTAATAGCCCTTGACATTGCGATGCTGCTCAATGGACTTCATTTTCTTCATGGCATTCGAACGCTTCTTCTCAATAGTGCCTGAAGGAAGAGGCAAAGGGATGAGTATGAAAAGAGCTAGTGGATCGAGCTTAAGACGTACCAGGTGCCGGTTGAAGCAGCTTGAATGGCACATCCGTTTGCATCTCTCCTCCCAGCGTGCCGCAGTTCAACTTGATGCGCACCGAATACGAGATGACGATACCGCAAGCATCGCCCGTGGACTTGCCCTCCTGGACCATGGTGGAGGAGGCCAAGTTGACATCCTCGTCCTTCAAATGGCCATCCAGAGCAATGCCTGAGGAATATTCGAAATGAAATCTTGCCTAAGCAACGCATAGTCCATCCGCGCGCTCACCATGACGATCCTTGTTATTGGCTGCCAATGGAATTAGGTAGAAGGTCTTGGTTAGATTGGCGCCAGGTGTGATGGGGCAGCCCTCCTTGGTCTCCAGCTGTGCCACATGCTTGCTGAACTGCGCATTCACCATGGTGATCTCGGTGTGCTGCACAATGAAGCACTTGATGCTCTTCACAGACTTCTTGGAGTTGTTGGACACTTGCACTGTGGCAGCCACCTTCTCGCCGTGATAGTAGATCTCACGATCCAGCGTAACCTCCAGACTGATTTTGCCATTGGAGAAGGTGAAGCCCTTGCTGACCAGCGAGCTAGGCAGGCGCTGGCCACGATTCAGTGGAGCATACTGCAGCTTCTTGATTACCAGACTGACCATGCTGCGCTTGTGCTGACGATCATCCTCGGAGTCAGCGACATAGGCGCGAATGGTGTACTCCACGCCCAGTGGCTTGCCCATGTCGTCGCCCTCCTGCTGCAGCGTCACGGAGCTGGGCGAGTTGGGTGGGAAATGGAAGGTGAAGGGATGAGCATGGCTGCCCAATTTGCGCACCAGCTTCTCCTGCATCGGTGTCATTTCCATGTTGTTATTGGTCATGGGCACAATTTGCTCCCGCGACAGGATCAGCTCCTTGGAGAACTTGACGCCCATGACCTCGTCCTCTTCGCGGCCATAGCGATAGGTGGTGGCCAATTGGCCAAATACTTTACGATTCTTCAGATAGTCCGGCTCCACAACGATAACGCCATCGACGGGATCGCAGTAATCCAAGTGATCAATGAAGTCACGACGGCCCAAATAGAAGGTCACCTTGCCGTTGGGAGTTGCCTTCTTAAATACCTTCACGGAAACAACCATCTTGAACTAAGTCTATTAGATGTTAACTAAAAATATTCCTATTCTCGCGCCCGGAGCTTGAAACGTTCTGCAATTCGTCGTTTGTCGAGCAAAATGCAGAACTTGGCTACGGCCGAACCTGCTTATATACCTTTGGACTGGCCCTGCCCGTGGGGTTTCACTGCGTTCACTAAATGGATTTGCCCGTTATGCAGTCGAACAACAGCGAATAACGTTCTTTTGCGCAGTTTTCCATTCCATTCCGTTTGACCAGCCAAATTGGCTAATGTCAAGTAGCGTTCGCGCGACCTCGTGCGAGGTCAGCCAAATGTTTGTTCGACGTAAGTCTTTCAGGAGGATTAGCATTCGATTAGCTATTGACACACAGCCAGAGCTCAAGTTCGTGCGTGAAAGCCTTTTGCGTAAAACTCACGCAAGTCTCCCATAGCGAAGCCATAGAAGTTAGTGGAGCACTCGGGCAATATGTTGAGAGTAAATCAAATATCAATATATTGATTTAAATTTATTTAAAGTGCAAAGCGGAAATGTTAAAAATATTACAATTGCTTAAGTGGGCGACCAAGTCGTTTGGACTACGAGCGGGAAATCTAGAGTGGCACAGAATAGGCTGGAATAGGCCAAAAAGCTCATACATCTCCCACACTGTTCAACAAAATTGAGCTTTTTTGTAACCCAAATTTTACTTGATATAATTTATCAATAAATTATTATATTTAATCAATATATCTCTTTCGCTTTCAGCTTAGCAATGCAGACACAGAGCCACACCACAACCGATCGCCATGGCTACAGCCTGCGCTTCTCGCCTTTCGAGGCGAATCATATGCTGCTCGCTACTAGGTAGGCTCTACAGACACAGCCACTTTATAGCCCAACTAATCCACCTTTGTTTGCAGCCAATTGTACGGTCTTGCTGGTGGCGGTTCGCTCTTTCTGCTAGCCCAAAACACCACAAAGGACGCTCAGTTGAGCGTCAATGAGCAAAGTCTTACAGAGTTGTGTCGTCTGGAGTGGTCGGATGGGTTGTTCGATGTCGCCTGGTGTCCATATGCCGCTGACATAGCAGCCACTGCCTCGGGCGATGGCTCGCTACAGATTTGGTCGGGCTTGGACGTCGAGTCGGCGGTGACAGAGCAAACACCCAAACAGCCGTTGATCTGCCTGCAGGAGCACAAGAATGAGATCTACAGCCTGGATTGGGGCGAGAAATGGAATTATCACACACTCCTCTCGGCCAGCTGGGATTGTACGCTCAAGCTCTGGGATTGCAACAGGCAGAACTCCATCACGACGTTTGTGGGACACAATGATTTGATATATTGCGCAAAGTATTCGCCGCTCATTGCGAATCTCTTTGCCAGCGTAAGTACCGATGGGCATTTAAACTTATGGAATTCTCTTGATTTTACAGGTAAACCCCTGATGAGCATCGAGGCGCATGCCAGCGAGGCGCTCTCCTGCGACTGGAGCCACTTCGATCGCAACGTACTGGTGACTGGTGGATCCGATGGGCTGATACGTGGCTGGGACTTGCGTAAGATGCGCACACACATCTTCGAGCTGTATTCTGGAGAATTTGCTGTCAGACGCTTGGCCTGCTCCCCGCACTCGGCGACGGTGCTTGCATCGGCCAATTATGATTTTACAACGCGGTAAGTTGGAAGAGAAAATTGAAAGATGAAAGGATAGGCATAGCTCCTTACTTAAGAATTTATATATGAGCTCATGTTCACACATTTTCTTATTGTTGTCTCCCACAGTATTTGGGACTTGGCACTCGGCGAATCTGCACAAGAAATTAATGCTCAACACACAGAGTTTGTCTGCGGCTTGGACTGGAATCCACAGCGTGCTCATGAGCTGGCCGATTGCGGTTGGGATTCGGTTGTGAATGTCTATACGCCGCAGTGCCTGGCTTAAAGAGCTGGCACAGCCGCTTCAGATGCCTTAACGCTGCTGGCCTTACACCCAACTGGAAACGATAGCTGGAAACTGGAAACTGGCACTGGAACCGGTAAATCCAAAAACTGAACGAATGTGATAAATAGCCAAACTAAATGGTGGACAGGACGCCTGGACCTGGATAGCTGAGCTATATAAAACCCTCTAAGGAAACGGAAATGAACTGTAAATAGTTGTGATATACCTATAAAAAAAGTGTACGAAGAGGAGAGCAAACACGAAAGAACCCAAAGAGACCCAAAATTGTGCAGGTGCTTGAAATGTCAATAAAAAGCTAACAGATTATATATATATTCATATATATTATATATATGTTTTGTTTAACTAGCTGCAGGCTATAATTTGATTGTGTTTCTCTCCTTTTGGTTTGGGACTTTAACAAGAAGTTAACGGCATTCGCTTAGCTGGCAAGCAGCAGACGTTGAAGTGGCGTTGCTTCTACTTCAGCCGTGGCAAGCCAAACAAACATGCAATAAAGCGCTAATTTGCTGCAACGTTTTATTGCCTGACTGTCGGGAGGCTTCGAGCCAACTGACATTCCCAGAATTGACACAGTCAACGAGCTGCTGTGGCAAAAGGTGTGTCCACATCGCACCGTCGCACGTCGACAGCTCTGCTGATGGTGTGAAAAGGAGCCCGCAGCCAGTGCCAGTACCAGTACCAGAGCCGATGCCAATGCCCATGTCCAAAGTGTCTGCCTTTGTTAGCTGAAGATCACATTGCTCATCCTGTCATTAGGCTTGAAGTTGTGAGCTTTGGCTGCCACCTCGGGCAAATATTTGTTTTGATGCCAATTTGCGCTGATTCCTTTGGACAGCCAGCCCATCAGTCAAAGGCAGGCAACAGCTGCTGCCACTGTAATTAT